ATAAAAAAATTCGAATATCATCCAAAAACAAAAAACTAATTAAAAACCAAAATCACCCAAATATATATGCAATAATCCATATCTTCCAGAATTAGCCGAATCTCGGAGACATACGAAAACAACCAAATAAATCCTATCATCCATTTATTTCCAATTTAAAAAAAGAAAAAATCAAATGTCATTGAAATTCATTCAAGACAAATCAAAGGCTCTAAATATCTATATCGTAAATATCATATCCGAATCTCAATCCTTAAACTAATCTATCATCATAATATTTAATAAATATCGAAAAAAATTATCATGAAAAAATATCGTATGGTCCCAAAAAACGTTTTATATAAGATTCATAATCATTCACAATCAGACATTGATCGAATTTCCCAGTTCAACTAACAGTAACAAATATGCTACACGCCGGCAAAACTCCCCATCTGAGAGAGAGAGAGAGTAATAAATATCACCCTGCTGTGTAGTTTCTACTGCGCACTATCGGTAATTACAGATTCTGCAAGTAGATGCTGGCAGAACTCTCCATTTTAGCTCACAAGCACACTCTATACCTTTCTGCACTATTGCACTTGGAAGTCTGAACCTGGAAGAACCTGGCTGGCGAGCATCAGGTTCAGACACTCCGAAAGGGCCCAAATATAACAAACACATAACCCGAGGGTCACGGCATTCAGGCCGCTTCACGTCGGGGCGCAGCAACCGTTTGCCAAAGAGCCCTCTATCTACACGTCTACACTGCCAAGCCAGTCTTGGTGAGTGCGGCTGGCGCTTGCACTCTACGGCTGTTGAGAACTCACTAGAGAACTCAATTAAGAACTGAGCCTACTTGCCAAATTGGCTTTGCACGTCAAAAACTGATGCAGCACCTAAAATCAGGCCTTTGAATGAAGCTACCCAAGTGTCCATTCGGCCTCAGGTGACCTAGCGCATGCTTCTGACAGCTCACTGCTCAACGTCGCCTTTCAGAAATTTCAATGTCATCTTGCTTTCCTCGTGCATGGCAAGCGGCTGAGAACATGCACATGGGCCCCATATACGCGTGGAAAACTGAACGCTGCAAAAAACAACAGCAAAATTCGGGGAGCAGATCTCCTGTATCTTTTTGTCCATCTCTTCCTCCACCTCGGTTTGCAGACCTAGGTTCTGCAAGTGGCTTGCGAAGCATGGCTTGTTTCCGATGGCATTAAGATCCAGGCTGCGCAAAAGCTCAGCTTTTTCCGCGATCCGAGCCTTTTGCTGCACCTTGGAGAGCCGACAAAACGTCCAACAATGGCAACGCCAGATTATGTCGTCCCAGATCTTCCTTTGTTGCTGAGATGTATGGGAGGGCACCTCCTAACGAAGGGTTCCCCTCGCTTGCGGATGCGCTTGGGAACACGCTTGCAAACACGTTTGCGGCGATTGTGAATTCCTGCGGACGCTTTGCGTTCGGCATGCCGAGCGCCCTTTGCACCTCCCAATCCCTGGACCACAATCTTGAACGGACATCGCACACCAGCTTGTAAAGGGTATTTCGATAGGGGTCAGTGAAAAATTGCCTGTGCAGTCATAGATAAAAACATAGATAAAAAAACAAGAGCCCGGGGTTCAGATCAATCCGCACATTGTGCTGGCCCATTGAGGTCGAGGCCAGCCCCTCCAGGAAGTGCTTCGGATTTGGTTGCCAAACCTTGTGCTACAAGCATGCTGACATAAAATCGTTTCTCTGACAGGTCCCGGCCTGCAGCTCCACCCCCTCATGGCCGGGGTCACCTCCATATCCAGTTCGTGAATCGGGTTGTGGAAGTGCAAATCCCAGCTCCTTGCAACTTCAGGTGATTTTAGGGTTTAGGGTTTAGTGCGTTTTTTGTGCGGATGTCTTGTAGAAAAAGGAAGGATAAGGGCTTCAGGACTTGGGGTTCAGGGTTCAGGGTTGTGAGGTTTGGGTTTTGGTTGTTGGGGCTGAGGCCTGAGTGTGGAGTTTGTTTTTTCAAAGCTTTGCAATGAAGCCCTACTGTAGGATGCTTCAACCGGATTCTAGGTTTAGGGTTTGCCAGATTATCCAAACCTGCAGCCATGATTCCACGGGGCCTTATGGGCCGCGGTACAGCGCGTGGTTACACAGATGCAGAAGCTGCAGAAGAGAGTCTGCTGCTTAGACCGGAGACCACTTTGAACCAGAAAACCTTATACTCGAACCCTAGAACCCGAAACGCTAAGCCCGAGACCCGCGACTGTCCAACATCGCGGGCATTCCGGAAGCAATTGTGAGACACTTGTTTCGCACTCGGTGAAGTTGGGTCTGGTTGAGCTCTCTGTACACAATCATACAAACAGACAAATACGCAAAACCGAAAAACATACGTACGTACATACATACAGACGTACATTCATACATGACTGCCCACATGCATACATACCTGCATACATGCACATGTCCGTACATACATAAACACATTCCTTCCCACCATGCAGGATGCCGCGCACGCATGCGTACTTGCCGGGGTCGGCGGCAGCGGCAGGAATTGCGGCGAAGGGCTTTAAAGGAATCCGCCGACGCCGGCCTTGGCCGCGGTCGAGCGCATGGGAAGCCCCCCCGACCCGACTTGTTCCCCGGGCTTTCAAGGTTCTGGTCCGGGGCTTGCCGGCTGGTTCCCCCCCCCCCACGCAGGACCTATGGAAGGCGGAGAAGGGCAGGCAAATGCAGGCGAGATGAGTGACCAACAGCATGCTTCCAGAAGTCCGATTTGTCTGGGACAATGCCTGGGTGGGTCCTTTCGGGGGTTGGTATGGCTCAAACGAAGACGACTTCACTTTGCCCAATGACAAGAACAACAGCGCTCCGGACATCTTGAGCAGGCATGCGCAAACGAATCAAAAAGATAAAGTGTACCGCTGCCAAAATGCATGGGAATGGATGAGATCACGCCTTCTCCTCATCCTCCGCAGCTCTAACCAAAACGGGGCGCACGGCCGTCTCGGCCAGCTGCAGCGCCAAGCCTTCCGCATCCTCACAGGATGAAGCACTGCAAACGGAATCTTGTCGCGTGAGCCCTTTGTTATATTTACCATATATGCTGTCCATCTTGCCTGGGGCTCCGGAACGTTGTCGCTCTCGGGCTTTGCTGGTGAAGCCCGCGAAGCACTCGCAGGCGTCCCACACTCAGCTGCCTCTCCAAGGCGCTCAGTGCCTTGGAGCTGCCCATCCAAGTCCTCCCAACATGTGGAGAACTTCCATATTTCCAACGCTGAAACTTCTCAATCGTTCCACTTGCAATTCCCAGTCTGACCTCCTGATGTTGGATTCTTTCGTTGGTCGACAATGCCCTGTGGTTCATGATCCTACCCGGTCGGGTTGTTCGGGTTGGCCGCGTTGGTCGGGTTGGTCGGTTTGGTCGGGTCGGTTTGGTTTTTTCGGGTTGGTCGGCTGGGTGGGTCGTGTTGGTCGGGTTGGTCGGGTTGGTCGGCTCGGTCGGGTTGGTCGTGCTGGTCGTCTCCGTCGGGTTAGTCGGGTTGGTCGGGCGGTTGGTCGGGTTAGTCGGATTAGTCGGCTTGGTCGTCTCGCGCGGCATCCATATCCAAACCATAATCACGTCCATTTACCAGAGCATCCATGCCCAAGCAATAATAATGTTCATTTGTGAGCGCATCCGATTCCCTGATTACCAGATCATCCTTGCCCAAAGAAAAATAATGTCCATGTTCGATTCGAGCGCGTCCGATTGCCAGGGCATCCATGCCAAACCATAATAACGTCCAGTTGCCAGCGGATCCGATTACCAGAGCACCCATGTCCAAACCAGGACCATAACAACGTCTATTTTCGAGTGCATCCGAGTACCAGAGCATCCATGCCCAAACCAGAATAAACGTGCATGTTCGATTGCATCGGGTTCCCCGAGCAGCCATGCCCAAGCCAAAAGAACATCCATGGTATAGGCGTACAGGCTATTTTTGTCAGGGCAAGTCGATGGCGAGACGCAGTTTGTCGCCGACAAGACCGAGGAAGTTAACGCGTCCGTACAAGCGAGGGCTTGGGGTGGGCTTTGGGTTGACTTCTCCAACCCTAGTACAAAAACTCCCCAACCTAGGGACCATAGGCATATTCAGACACCCTGAACCCTATTTAAACCCTGGGCGTTGCCACCGAAAACCCTCTGGGGTTGGGTGCTTCACCGCGCCAGGGTCAAAACGGTGGAGGCCGCGAAGAGGAGGCGGTCGACGGTCGACGGCGCGGAGGGTGGTCGTCGGACGGGATGCGCGGGGAGAGTTATGGACGGAGGGCACGGGGGGCGCGGGGAGGTTGACGGACGGAGGACGCGGGGAGGTTGACAAGGGGCCGGAGCGCGATATCCGGTCGACCACCTTTAGGCTAGCCGTGCTCCGCACTGGACAACGATGGCCAGGCCGGATTTAATGGCTAACGCCACTGCCGCCGGGGCCACGGCAAGCGGCCGCAATCCGACCAACCTGACCAACCCCATCAACGCGACCAACCCAGCCACCCCGACCAATCGACCAACGCGACCAACCCACCAACTTGACCAACCCGACCTAATCCTAAAGCCCTAAACTTAAGCCCTAAAGTTCCCTAAAGCCCCAATGGCAACTCAGTTGGGTTTCAGATCTGGCTGAAGTCATGGGCACGGCTTAGGGTTTAGGAAGTTCTCATGCCCTTGTGTTGAAATTCAGCCGACGTCGAGCAGCCGATCCCCACAACCCTAAACTAAACCCTGGTTTAGAGTTCGGGATGTGGGGGTTTCGGGTCTCGGGATGGCAGGGGCGTAGCCTTTATCCTCGAGGTCATCGGAATCCCATCAACCTCCCCAAGTCGCCTAAACGTCCTGAACAGCCTGGATCGCCTCGACAACGCCTAATAAACACCCAAACAACCCTAATCCCCATCAGAGAAAAACAAAAACAGAACCCCCCCCGCCCCCACTGTCATCGTCGATCGGGGAGAAGGCATCCAGCTGAGCGCCACAGGCGTCGCTGATCAAGACCTGCGCTTCTAGGTCTGCCCTTTTCTTGCTAGTGCTTAGTCGGGAATGAAGGAATGAGCCAGAGTGGCCTTTGGTCAGGGGTGGCAAGAAAAACAAAGAAACATTAAACAAACTGAACATATAACAAGATCATTTTCACGGACATGATATGAAATTGCTCTGCGTCGTTCTTTGTAGTAAGCTGGTCGCTTCAGGGCCAACAAAATACAAAAAGGATGCTGCGACCACGGAGATGCTCGTGTTGTTCCTGCCTTGCTGGGTTCAAGAACAACAATATGGCTCAACACCTTCTGAGAAGTAAAAAAACCCAATGAAAACTCACAACACCCGCGAAGCTGGGGAAGTTCAGATTTTGAAGAGCACATGCCATACATGAAACCGTGTTGTTTTGTCACCGTGACAAGCTGCGGGCAGAAGCTTTGCCCATTGACCCACAGCACAACATCAAGCAACTGCCTTGGGTCAAGCTGCGGACAGTAGCTTCGACCCTCACCCCGCAACTCCAAATCAAACAGCAGCCTTGAAAGAATCCCGGGGCAAGATGAAGCTATACAGTACTATCTTCGAATACCCCACAGGACCCTATACGTCTAGCGGACCATTTTATAGTATATAGAGAAACCAGCACGTGCTATCCCTATAAAATGACCGACCAGAGTTAGTCGGAAGGGACGACGAAACCGATGAAATGTTGCTCTCTATAAAAAGGTCTGCGTGAGGTCTGCGTGGGTACCCGAGCCAAGCTTTACAAAAAGCAAAAACACCCCGAGCCAACGAAATCACAATAGAAATCACAATAGAAATCCCTACAGCTAGGCATTTAAGAAAGGTTCTCAAAAGCTCTCCTACTTCATCATGTTTTTGTTGCATGCTATTTTGGCAATGAATTTGTTTAGCTTCGCTAGCTTTAACCCCTAAATCACTGTATCTCCCCACACCTGCTTTTTGAAACGGCTTTTGTGTAATCTCCTACGTCATCATGGTTTTTGAGTGCGATTTCCCTATATATATATATATATATATGAGCCTGAGACCTTTCGGGTTCTTTTGGCTTAGTTTTTACAGAGCTATTAAAAAGAATAAATATAAATCTAATTTTATATTAATGTCATGAGTGAATAGAATGGTTCTCTGATATTGAGGCTGTAATGAACCTGAAACTGAAAGACTCAGGGTCTTACGGTGCTTAGGGATTCAGGGCCGCTGGGAAGGTTCTGGGCAGCGGGCTCGTGAGCTTAAACTTCAGAAGGAATTAACGCACGCGCTCTTTTAAGCTGCAAGACTTCAGGGTGGAATTATAAGGTTTCCCCAAACCCTGAACCATCTTCAGAGACGACACACCGGTATCTCTGAACCAACCAACCAAGCAACCAACCAGCCAAAACCCTAAACCGTAAACCTAAACCCCAAACCCTAAAGCCCTAGCCCTAAAACCTGAACCTTCTTGTTTCACACCTTGGCATCTCATGAGCGGAAGAGTAACGTCGTGAGACGCCTGGAGCCTGTCTGAAGCCCTCGTCCAAGGACTCTAAGAAAAGAACTAAAAAAACAACTGAGGATACCCTAAACCCTTAACCCTAAACCCAAGCCCTGTTAGTATGAGGGCGAACATCCCAAGCTTACTGCTTAGCCTGTGGTGCCAGCCTCCAGCTCAACCCCAACCCTTGCACCGTGGCTATCCCATTCATGCCTTGGGAGAGAGAGTTGAGATAGAGCGAGAGAGAGATATCTATGTATATATATGTAGATATGTATGTTTTCTGTATCTACCTACTAGTTGTTATTATTTGGTTATTGCTTTTTCATTTTTTTACGAGAGGGACTGAAGGCCATTTATCCAGGCGTGTAGGGTGTGTAAGGGGTGCAAGGCGTGTAAGGCGTGTAAGGGGTGCAAGGGGTGCAAGGCGTGTCAGGCCTGTAAGGGGTGTAAGGGGTGCAAGGCGTGTAAGGTGTGTAAGGGGTGTAAGGCGTGTGAGGGGTGCGTAAGGCGTGTAAGGTGTGTAAGGGGCGCAAGGCGTGTAAGGCATGTAAGGGGCGCAGGGCGTGTACGGCCTGTAAGGGGTGAAGGGGTGTAAGGCGTGTAAGGGATGTTAAGGGTGTAAGGCGTGTGAGGGGCGCGTAAGGCGTGTAAGGTGTGTAAGGGGCGCAATGCGTGTAAGGCGTGTAAGGGGTGTAAAGGGTGCAGGGCGTGTAAGGCCTGTAAGGGGTGTAAGGGGTGTAAGGCGTGTACGCGCTGTTAGGGGTGTAAGGCGTGTGAGGGGCGCAAGGGGTGTAAGGGGTGTAAATGGGTGTAAGGGTTGTAAGGGCTGTGGGGCGTGTAAGGCGTGTAAGGCGTGTAAGGGGTGCAAGGCATATAAGGCGTGTAAGGGGTGTAAGGGGTGCAAGGCGTGTAAGGCGTGTACGCGCTGTAAGGGGTGTAAGGGGTGTAAGGCGTGTGAGGGGTGCGTAAGGCGTGTAAGGTGTGTAAGGGGCGCAAGGCGTGTAAGGCGTGTGAGGGGTGTAAATGGGTGTAAGGGTTGCAAGGGCTGTGGGTGTGCAGGCGTGTAAGGCGTGTAAGGCGTGCAAGGGGTGCAAGGCATATAAGGCGTGTAAGGGGTGTAAGGGGTGCAAGGCGTGTAAGGCGTGTACGCGCTGTAAGGGGTGTAAGGGGTGTAAGGCGTGTGAGGGGTGCGTAAGGCGTGTAAGGTGTGTAAGGGGCGCAAGGCGTGTAAGGCGTGTGAGGGGTGTAAATGGGTGTAAGGGTTGCAAGGGCGTGTAAGGCCTGTAAGGGGTGTAAGGGGTTAAGGCGTGTAAGGGATGTTGGGGGTGTAAGGCGTGTGAGGGGCGCAAAGGGGTGTAAGGGGTGTAAATGGGTGTAAGGGTTGTAAGGGCTGTGGGGGTGCAGGCGTGTAAGGCGTGTACGCGCTGTAAGGGCTGTAAGGGGTGTAAGGCGTGTAAGGGGTGTAAGGGGTGTAAGGGGTGTAAGGGGTGGGGTGTAAGGGATGTAAGAGGGGGGGAGGGAGTGTAAGGAGTGCAAGGCGTGTAAAGGGTGTAAGGGGCCTGTGGTTCTAACCATATGGCCGCTTCTGAAGTTATTGTTTCTTGTGCTGTTTTAATAAAAAGAAAAGAATACTTGAATCTAAAATCTTACGGACTAGAGACTTCGAGTTAACCTCTGGAAACAAAAATAATCAGACAGTGCTGCAAACATAATATGAAAACGCTCACACAAACAAATATAAACTCTATAGCATTAGACACAGTGGACCGATAACAGTCCCACTGTGTCTAAATATGAAGTTGGCGAGATATAAGAAACGAAGAATGGGGGAGACGGTGGACCGATAACAGTACCACCGTGTTCAGGGACCGATGTCAGTACCCTGCTTTCCCGAAGGCCGATAGCAGCACTCCGAGTTGATGCACAACGACAAGAAAGCATTATTTTAAATATTGCGTTTATGATTATGTAGATGAAAATGGTTTTTATATTATGTTTTATTTCTTATTCATGTAAGACTAAACATTTTTCTCGACGTAGTCCTTTAGGACATTGAAAAGAATTTAAAATCAAATATGGTAAACATAATGGATTTGTTAACTACACGTTTCTGTTTCAAGCAGACAAGAAATTAGTTCAATTAATTAAGTTCTTGTGCTCAAAAATTCAAAGAATTCAAATGTATGAAATCTTTAATCCCGTGCCCTCAGCCAGACCATTTAAATAATTCAAAGAATTCAAAGAATTCAAGTGTTTGAAATCTTTAATCCCGTGACCTCAGCCAGACCATTTAAATAATTCAAAGAATTCAAAGAATTCAAATGTTTGAATTCTTTGAATTATTGGGGAGGCCCAAGAATTCAAAGAATTCAAACATTTGAATTCTTTGAATTCTTGGGCCTCCCCAAGAATTCAAAGAATTCAAACGTTTGAAATCTTTAATCCCGTGCCCAGTAACGCACTTGTAATGGGGTATGTCGCGCGCCGGGAGGCAAGAACACAGATTTTGTGGAATTTCGGGTTTCAGGCTTCGGTGGTGTCTTGCCGAAAGCCTGGAAAGTTCCACTGTTGAGGACCGAGTGGGGTTGGCCGCGACAAGCAAGACCTGGAACCCTCAGCGCTTCTTGAAATTTACGAACACTTACCCCCCGATAAGCAAGACTTAGAACCACCCCACATACGCAGCCTTTAAGGGTTGAAGGGTGTTTAAAATTCAGTGTTACATATATATTTGCTTCTTGAAATTTACGAACACTTACCCCCCGATAAGCAAGACTTAGAACCACCCCACATACGCAGCCTTTAAGGGTTTAAGGGGGTTTAAAATTCAGTGTTACATATATATTTGCTTCTTGAAACTTACGAACACTTACCCCCCGATAAGCAAGACTTGGAACCACCCCACATACGCAGCCTTTAAGGGTTTAAGGGGGTTTAAAATTCGGTGTTACATATATATTTGCTTCTTGAAACTGACGAACACTTACCCCCCGATAAGCAAGACTTAGCACCACCCCACATACGCAGCCTTTAAGGGTTTAAGGGGGTTTACAATTTGCTTGTTAAAACTTACGAACACTTACCCCTCGATAAGCAAGGACTTAGAACCACCCCACATACGCAGCCTTTAAGGGTTTAAGGGGGTTCAAAATTCAGTGTTACATATACATTTGCTTCTTGAAACTTACGAACACCTACCCCCCGATAAGCAAGACTTGGAGCCACCCCACATACGCCGTCTTTAAGGGTGTAAGGGGGGTTTAAAATTCGGTGTTTCATATATATTTGCTTCTTGAAACTGACGAACACTTACCCCCCGATAAGCAAGACTTAGAACCACCCCACATACGCAGCCTTTAAGGGTTTAAGGGGGTTTAAAATTCAGTGTTACATATATATTTGCTTCTTGAAACTTACGAACACTTACCCCCCGATAAGCAAGACTTAGAACCACCCCACATACGCAGCCTTTAAGGGTTGAAGGGGTTTTAAAATTCAGTGTTACATATATATTTGCTTCTTGAAACTTACGAACACTTACCCCCCGATAAGCAAGACTTAGAACCACCCCACATACGCAGCCTTTAAGGGTTGAAGGGTGTTTAAAATTCAGTGTTACATATATGTATTTGCTTCTTGAAACGTACGAACACTTACCCCCCGATAAGCAAGACTTAGAACCACCCCACATACGCAGCCTTTAAGGGTTGAAGGGTGTTTAAAATTCAGTGTTACATATATATTTGCTTCTTGAAACTTACGAACACTTACCCCCCGATAAGCAAGACTTAGAACCACCCCACATACGCAGCCTTTAAGGGCTTAAGGGGGTTTAAAATTAGACCATTTAAATCATTCAAAGAATTCGAAGAATTCAAATGTTTGAATTCTTTGAATTCTTGGGGAGGCCCAAGAATTCAAAGAATTCAAATGTTTGATTTCTTTGAATTCTTGGGCCTCCCCAAGAATTCAAAGAATTCAAAGGTTTGAAATCTTTAATCCCGTGCCCTCAGCCAGACCATTTAAATAATTCAAAGAATTCAAAGAATTCAAATGTTTGAATTCTTTGAATTCTTGGGGAGGCCCAAGAATTAAAAGAATTCAAAGAATTCAAATGTTTGAATTCTTTGAATTCTTGGGGAGGCCCAAGAATTCAAAGAATTCAAATGTTAGAATTCTTTGAATTCTTGGGCCTCCCCAAGAATTCAAAGAATTCAAAGGTTTGAAATCTTTAATCCCGTGCCCTCAGCCAGACCATTTAAATAATTCAACGAATTCAAAGAATTCAAAGAATTCAAATGTTTGAATTCTTTGAATTCTTGGGGAGGCCCAAGAATTTAAAGAATTCAAAGAATTCAAATGTTTGAATTCTTTGAATTCTTGGGGAGGCCCAAGAATTCAAAGAATTCAATTGTTTGATTTCTTTGAATTCTTGGGCCTCCCCAAGAATTCAAAGAATTCAAAGGTTTGAAATCTTTAATCCCGTGCCCTCAGCCAGACCATTTAAATAATTCAAAGAATTCAAAGAATTCAAATGTTTGAATTCTTTGAATTCTTGGGGAGGCCCAAGAATTCAAAGAATTCAAAGAATTCAAATGTTTGAATTCTTTGAATTCTTGGGGAGGCCCAAGAATTCAAAGAATTCAAAGAATTCAAATGTTTGAATTCTTTGAATTCTTTAGATTCTTTGAATTATTTAAATGGTCTGGCTGAGGGCACAGAATTCAAAGAATTCAAATGTTTGAATTCTTTGAATTCTTGGGCCTCCCCAAGAATTCAAAGAATTCAAATATTTGAATTCTTTGAATTCTTTAGATTCTTTGAATTATTTAAATGGTCTGGCTGAGGGCACGGAATTCAAAGAATTCAATTCTTTGAATTCTTTGAATTCTTGGGCCTCCCCAAGAATTCAAAGAATTCAAACATTTGAATTCTTTGAATTCTTTAGATTCTTTGAATTATTTAAATGGTCTGGCTGAGGGCACAGAATTCAAAGAATTCAAATGTTTGAATTCTTTGAATTCTTGGGCCTCCCCAAGAATTCAAAGAATTCAAATATTTGAATTCTTTGAATTCTTTAGATTCTTTGAATTATTTAAATGGTCTGGCTGAGAGCACGGAATTCAAAGAATTCAATTCTTTGAATTCTTTGAATTCTGGGGCCTCCCCAAGAATTCAAAGAATTCAAACATTTGAATTCTTTGAATTCTTGGGCCTCCCCAAGAATTCAAAGAATTCAAACATTTGAATTCTTTGAATTCTTTAGATTCTTTGAATTATTTAAATGGTCTGGCTGAGGGCACGGAATTCAAAGAATTCAATTCTTTGAATTCTTTGAATTCTTGGGCCTCCCCAAGAATTCAAAGAATTCAAATATTTGAACTAATTGAATTCTTGAGCTCACTTAATTTACTCAATTATTTAAATGATTCTTATAATTAATATATAAAGAAAAAATAGTGGCAACATAGTACATAAAGGTCCCTCTCTCATATATATATATATATGAAAAACTACTTTTGTAAAGCTGTCCTGCTTCATCGTGGGTTATTTGCACGTTATTCTTCAATGGCATTCTTGTGTGTTTCGCTAGGTTTGAAATGCGGAAATTACAGCAGAAATCCTGCGCCTAGGTATTGGAACTCCATTCATAAAGCTTTCATTCTTCATGGTGGTGTTTGCATGCTATTTTCAAATTAATCCGGAAACAACCCACATTTCCCTGCACGGAAGACTTGAAACTGCTTTTCTAAAGCGTTCATTCTTCATCATGTGTCTTGCATTGCGGGTGTCTTCTCGGAATCACCACAGATCTCCTTACGCCTAAGTTAGGTTTCCTACTTCTTCATGGTTTTTGCATACCGGGTTTCCCTTGGTACAAAAAATGCTTCTATAAGGCTGCCCTGCTTCATCACGGTTTTTTTGCACGCTATTCGTCAGTGATGTGCTTGTGTTTCGCTACTTTTTATACCGAAGTGACCGCCGAAATCCCTACACCTAGGCATTGAAATTGCTTGTCTAAAGCTGTCCAACTTAAGGTGTTTACTTGTATTTGGCTAGTGTTCATCTCGAAAGGACCGTATAAGTCCCTACACCTCGGTTTTGAAACTGCTTCTATGAAGCTTTCGTTCTTCATTATGGTTTTTGCTTGCTATATCAAATATGAATTTTCACATGTTCTAATATGTTCCAAAGAAATCGAAACAAAGCTTCAAGCTTTGTGGGTATGGTTCGAAGGGCGCTGGGCCAGTGACGGCCAGTGTGCGCCGGAAACTCATTTCTTAAGGTGTCCTACCTCACGGTTTTCGCATGCTATTTTCTCAATCTTGTGTTTCGCGAGCATTAATCCCGAGATCACCGCAGATCTCCCTTCACCTAGGTAACTAACTATTTACGACTGTTTTCCTAAAGCTTTCCTACTTCATCACCTGCAGATCTCCCTACGCCTAGCTGTTGAAACTTCTTTTATGACATGTCCCACTTCGTCATGCTTTTGTGCATGCTATTGTCCCTAGGTATGAAACACTGCTTCTATGAAGCATTCACGGGTTTTTGCACGCTATTTGTCAGTGATATTCTTGTGTTTCGCTGCTTTTTATACCGGAGTGACCGCCGAAATGCCTACACTCAGGTTTTGAAATTGTTTTTCTAAAGCTGTCCAACTTCGGGTTTTACATGCTATTATGAATGTGTCATGTGGAAGTAACAATGCGCTGAGAAAGAAGGACATTACGAGGCATGCACACGCACGACTCACAAGCCACAAGCATCAGAGAAGCGTGCTTTGCCTTTTTTCAAATGAACAAAGGGAGGCAATTGAAGACAGCAACTTCCCCGCTTCCGACAATCAACCACAAGAGTCATGTCCGCGTAGGACATGGCAGAACAAGCACACGTGTTGATGGCTGCTCACATGACCGCCAATTGGACGCCACCTTCCATGGTGTGAAGATTTCCCACTAGCCTTCAACTGCTTCTGCCCTCGCTTGAGGTGGGACGCGGAGACGCCTACGCAGACGGGGAGCTGCGTGCAATTTACACATGGCCGTGCATCTATCGCTGACGTGCTCTGGCCTGCACGCATTGCTGCCTCAAGTGCCTGCGCGAGACGCAAAAACCAGTTGGATGCCGCATGCCACTAGGGGACTAGCATCCTCGCAAAACTGTCAGGCCTGACGGAGACTGTCGATTGTAGTGGAGGACCTGGCACCACACAACCGAACCTGCATGCACACCCTGCCCAGAGCGGCTAATTGTTTTTTGAATTCTTAAGGGGTTAAGGATTAGTATTGCACTGTCTTCTCCTGCTGCCACCGGATTTCCTCAAGTCCCGTCTTGCTTCGGCTTTTCGAGACCCCCCGAGCAGATCATCCGCGCATCCCGGCATCTTGGCCTGTTAACCAGCTAGGCCAGTGCCTCGCAAATTGGCGTAAATTCCGTCTTCCGTGTTTCCGATCTGGAAGCTGTATCATCAAACCCAGACTCCCTTTCCCAGGACATTGTTTGACAGATCTCACTTTCCCAATTTCTAGCACTTCCTCAAATCCCGCTTTCTCTGGCGCCCAGCAAATCTCCACAGATCCTGCCATCCTGGTTGTTGCCTCCACTCCGTTCTTCAAATCCCGCGTTCCTTGCCCCCGGCCTTGTCACTTTCCACAAATCCAGCTCTCGCCTGCAATGTATTGCCTCAACTCCCGCTTCCCCCCTCCCCCACCGCTACCACTGTTCAAGCACCGCCAAGGCTGCCCTTCCATGCAGGAGAGAAGGGTTTCGAGCGCCGCCTGCATCTCCTGCCATGAGTAAAGCAGCCACTCGAACATCCGACGCCGTGACCAGGGACCTTCGGGTGCTCGATGGCGGCCTTCTGGCGGGCCAAGCGCTCGGTCACCTCCTGCTCGTGCATGCTGCCTGCGCGTTTAGGCCAGGTAGAGTTTAAGATTTTTCAAGGACAATAAACAGATGTATGGGGCAGGTTGGATGTGAAAACTTCACCGAAGAAGTGATGTTTTCACGTTCCTGGGACCCCCAAAGGGCCCGAGCGTGAAATACCGTGGCCAAACACACTCTCAGTTACCTGTCGTATACAGTTCGGGTCTTCCAGCCATGACGCAGTCCAGTCCGAAAGGTCCTGGATCAAGGAGACATACGTCTGGTGTCTCGCAGTACAAGAGTGTCTGGGTAGCCTCTGTTTGCACGCTCGAACCGCCCTACGAGTACATCTCAGAAGGCTTGATTTTGGGCGCTTCTACGTTTTCGGCCTTGGGCCCTCCCATGTAAACAGGTGACTCAAGACCCAAGACCCTAGCAACTCCTAAGCACGCCTTCCGGTCTTTCAACCGCTACCTCGTATGAGGCCCGCGTCTCAGGAGCCTCCGCAAAGTTCCCCGAACATGTAGGATCACGGCAAGTCACAGGTGGTGTACGTTTAGGTTTGAGGGTTGGGATTTTTGGGAATAAGAATAATGCAAGAGGAAAGCTTGCCCACAAGATGTCACGAAACTCTGCCAAGCCCTCACAAAATCCTAAGTCTGAAATGTTATCAAAGCCTTCCCTAAACCCCCTAGACCCCTTGCTCCTCAAGAAGGAGATCCCTCGCGGCCCCTGCACTGCATACTTTCAACACCCTCCCAAGGCCTCTTCGCAGGACAAGGCCCCAAGTCAGCTCGAAGCCCAAAAACCCCCTACCAAGCCCGAAGAGCGCAACTGCCAGCCAAAACGCGGCGACATGCGATCCATGTCCGGTCTCGCCGCAAAGCAGGCAGCACTTAAGCCCGCCCGTGGGTTAAAGACGATGCCCAGAACCAAAGCCTCCCATCCGAGGCAGTGCTGATGCCTCTGTCTTACTGGTCCCCAACTCAAATGGAACATAGATTGACCTCATGCCCGAGCCCTCAGACAATCGCAGCACCAGGCCCTGAACCCAAATCCGAAGCAGCACGGGCCTTGTGCGCAAATGTTTTGGGTTTAGGGTTCATCGAGCTTAGGTTCAGGGTTCCGGAATCCTGTGTCGAAACAGCGGCGCACAGGTCCCTCTCTCCGCAACTCCTAACTCGCCTCTCTACTTCGCCTCCTTAATTGCCTGAGCCAAAGCCATGTTCAGGACTGAAGGCTGAGGATTTCGAAGGGTAGGCGAGGCATTTTTCTCTCGTCGCAAAGTGCCCTGACACGCCTTGACTACCAAACAGGAAAGTCCTGTGGCAGGGACACAGTGGAAACATCCGTACGTTCTGGCTTCATTTGCAACCAGAGCCTCTTACCAGCACCTTGCTTCTCGCTGAAGTCAGGCACTGAAGAGCAGCTCAGAATCCGGAATCCTGCACCAAACCCGGCATTTCAAACCATAAACATTGGGATACCCGCGCTCTACGTACACTCGCTGATTTCCCTCCGCGGGCTGGAGAGAGCCCAATGGGAGCCCTGTTGCACCCCTCCTCTACATACGAGACCGATTTCTTCAGGACACCAAGCCACCAGCAGAAACCACAAGACTGCAGTGAAAAATGTCAGATCATTGCCCCTGAACGACATCGGGCCTTACAAGCCATGGCAGCTTGCACTTGCACTCGCAGCAGGCCTGCATGGCGAGGGCAAAGCAGGCGAAGCACTGGCTGGGGCTTGGATGGTTTGGGCGTGGGCCAACACCTTGCAAGCCAATAGAATCACATAAACCAAGAGATGCGCCGTCACCCGCATGGCACCACTAGCTTGCGTATCGCTCCCCCAGAATCAGTGTGAAATCTAACACCAACAGCAACAGCAGCAGCAGCAGACATTTCTTGGGGTGAGGATCCGATTGTTTCACACGAGGCCAGAACGACCACCAGATTGCAGGATAACCTTACAAAAAGTACAACACGCTTCTGTGCTGCCACTTGCCGGTTCCGGAGTGCCAGCCACGCCTAGGATCGCCAATTTCTCGCGAAGCTTTCGGTCCTCGTCTAAACAAGCTCTTTGAAGGCGACAGGAGAAGACCTGTTTACACACAGCCAAAGTGAGAATGTCTCCTGGGCTGCAATCTCTGCCGCCTCGCGCACCTAGCGCTTGAGCATGGGCGAAACCGGCAATTGCGGAACGCACAAGTCCTAAACAACTTGTGTATGACAGCTTGAGATCTTCGGCGCCTGCGGCGAAAGGTTCAACATCGCAGGCATTGGATCCGGTACGCCTCACTTTGTCGAGCAGTCCATAGTTTCCCTCAGAGTAACATCAAAGAATGCCAGCAGTGGGGAGCCCTACTGGCACGCAACCAACCTTTTCAAGAGAAATCATCTGGCACAACAACCGTTCAACCCAAAGAACACCTCAAGAACGGGACAACGGGAACGTGTCGCCATCCACGTCTTTCTACCCCGCCACCATAAGGCATGCCGCATCTGAAGCTTGGTATTGTGCCCCTCTTCCCTAAGGCGGCGACTGCTTTGATTGGGATGAAGAGCGGACGTCACAGCCTGCGACGACATCTCAGCAAAGTGCTCGCAGGACCAACGTGCCAGGGCCTTCTTGCGCCAATGCTGCCACCCATTGGGTGTCCAGCAGGCGTACACCTGCACGCGCATGTTCCAGCAACAGAGAGCATCTAGCAAGATATTCTGGCAACTTACAATATCCAAGCATCCGCAAAGATGTCATCCACCGATCGTCTAACCAAACACTGCATAGCACCAGTATGGACAAAAATTGCTTGTGAGTTTTGGCTGAGGTTGTCACTTTAGGCCGCCACACCATGCGTGATGCCTGGCAGCAATGGATCCACAAATATCACGGCAAAGCTGCATTTGGTTTCGTGCTGTGTTTCGCAGGCCTTCACCATCACGGCAATGGCGCAGTATGCATCAACGTAGCGAAGGACAAGAACTTTGCTTATAAGGTTGAGAACTGTCCTAAGAATTCAACATGCCACTGCGTTGTATTGAGCACCGCCTCGTCTTGCAGCTAGTTCTGTGAGCCATGTGAGCGAAGGAAAGCAAAGAATGCCACAACAAAAAAATTGATATTGTTAACCCAAAGTCCAAGCGTCGAGGTAAAAGACATCACAGAGCAGGGCCACAAGACGAATCCTGTTCACCATGGGCGTCGTTGCTTGCGGGGGGGGGGGGGGTCGTTCGTTGCCGTTGCTTAAACTTCTGGAGCTCATTTCCTGAAGTTGGGTGTTCGACTCTCCTCCAACTTCGGATATCAGGGCAGTCGCAAAAAAGGTACTCAACAAAAAGTTAAGCAATGAGGGGCATCAGGTCTGTCAGCAGGAAGCAGACCTTGATAATATAACCGTCGCCAATTCGAATCGAGAAGCTCTGAAACATTATCATTTTCATCGATATCGAATGATGAAAAATAATAATAAATAAATTCGTGCCAAATTCCCTTCCAAGTTCTTTCGTCATAAATCGCAACGACCACTTACTTCTTTTGAATAAAACCATCCATTTCAGAAACAAAATATTAGAAATCTATAAAAGTGGCGTAAAAAACGAATTTTTCAATTGATATTCTTAAGACGCACAAATCTCTACTACCGAACGCCAAATCGTACGAGCTCCCATTATCCGAAGAAATATTTCTCATTTCATGGCGTACTATGTATGGTATGATTCTTTTAATCAATTAAATTCAAAATGATTTGTCAATCCGAATGAAATTTTCAGAATTTCAATGTCTTCCTTTCTGCCTTGTTGTCCAATCAGTTCTTCTTGAAATTCTATTACGTACAAAACTACCAGTAGAATACACAAGCAAACATACAGATAATAGTTTCATCGAACCCCGAAGCGCTCTTATGCAAAGTTTGCACAACAACTATATGCGTGGAGCCCAGAATATCCAATGCTAACACACTCAGCAGCAAAACGATTGTGCCCGTACACCGGTCGCGACACAAACTGCAACGGCTCGGAACAACTGATCTCGGCTTGACCGGCGAGGGCGTCTCAACTTGAGCCGTGGCTTCTATTGCATATTGTATGATTTCAATGGAAATAAATTAATAGTGAGCCCGTCACGGAATCGGAACCCTTCCGAGGATACCGTCTGAATTCGTAGTCTTCCAAGAACTTTGCTTCCGCGGACACTTCTGCATGCTTTCTCTCGTCTGAGGCTGTTAGTCGAAAAGGCAGTGCGAAAGTCCACTGTAGAGGAAGAGGTGCCGTCCGTGGCCATGCTCAAAGTAAGGCCGGCCGAGCTACAGAACGGCAACCTTGGACAAGATGTTCAGACGTCATGTCTTGGCACTAGCAAGACTGATACTGAGCACACTCGCCCAGAGACCCACATGATTCTGATTCTGAGCCCCAAAAGTGACCACGGAGGGCGAGGTCGGCGGGGGGCTCGAAGTTCGTCAGATTCGTCAAGCACACCAGGGGGGGGGGTGGCCCAGTAATTACAATAATTACTTGCTTTGCTGATGCCCAACTCTTGGCGCATCCCCTGGAAGAATCCTCGCAAAGCTGATGTTGTTCTCAGCTGATTTCCTGCGTTTTGGGAACTTGCTTCCATGGAGGAGGTTTTTGAAAGACGGTCCGAAGTGGGCACGCCAAAACATGGCTGAAACTTTCAGCGGTTCTGTCGCCACAGGGACTTCTATGAAGTGCAGGGCATGCTTCAGGGTTGAAGCTCTAGGAGCTTGTGGCATCACGTGAGGACAAATATGACACAACGTGGCCTGAGTTTAAGCCTCTGAAAGGTGTTACGGGTGGGATGTGGCAGACAGCCACTTACATCTGTCGGCCAACCGATATCTCGTGCCGGCTCGAACTGGTCAACAGGCACGCGCCATCAGCAGCCCAAGTGCAGACCATGTGCAATCTCGGTATTCGCCTCATGGCTAGCGCTGTGCTCTCTCTCTGGAACGCACTGCGCTTCAAGTAGAGGCCGGGGAAGTTCAATTGCCAACCATCAGAATCATGGCGGGAAGCTGGCCACTTGGAGATCCTTGGAGGACAAGCATATGTTTTTCGGGTGTGCGACTCAACTGCCGGTTTCAGCCCGGCCTCCACATGTATCCACTGTGCTTTGCAGGTTGATGTGTGTGGGTGTGGGTGTGTGTCTCTGTGTGTGTGCGTGTGTGTGTGTGTGTGTGTGTTCCTGTCTTGCGTCGTCCTCAAAAGTGGGAGTGGCATTGTGTGTGTGTGTGTGTGTGTGTGTGTGTCAGAGACCTTCACAGGCACGTTTAACTTCAGGGGTGGCAGAAGGCTATGTGCAATCGGGAGCTATCAGGGGATGCCTTATTGATTGTACCTGAACACCAGCAATACCCACAACTACTTTTCACGGACACGCCCGCAAGGCAGTCTGATACTTGCTGTTCTGCACGTCTTGACGGCCTGGTTCTTACAGTTCCCGCATCCTGCCGAGAGTGGCTCGCCGCAGGTCGACCGTCAGGCCAGCAAGCGCCTGAAGTCGAATCTTGACCGTAAGCTGCATGAAGAACTTAAGGTGTCGCAGACATGTGTGTTACTCCTACAGCCTGCTACCGCTACCAGGACAGACCCCGAACTCGATTGCATTTGCATTTGGCCTTTGCATTTGCCCCCGGCCTGAAGGTCGTCGCGCGCGGCCGCGATCACAGCTGACCAAGCTGCTTCGTCTGGATCAACTTGCTGCACTCGCATTCTTTCAAAGAGGGAGAGCGCAACGTCGCCAGCACCAGCGTCTCCAACGCAAGCACGCAGGGCAGCACCGTAGGTAGGGGCATCTGCCAGCGGCTCTCGCACATCTCCAGGCGATTGCAGGAAGGAAACAGCCAGCTGCCAAACCCCTTGGCTGGCAGCAGTGACCACGGCATTGAGTGTTGGAGATGTATCGGAGAATCTAGCAGCCGATGCAGCTTGCATAGCTTGCCAGAGCAGCAAACCACAAGCCCAAGCTGCGGCACGAGCACAGCCTGTGATTGCAGAGCTTTGCCCAACAATGTTCGCTTCTTGCCTGGCCAGGCGCAGGCATCGCAAGCATCGAAGCGCTCTGGGCCACAACAGGCTGCGGCCCAAAGCTTCGACAGCCGCGTTGCTACCAGCTTGCAAGGCAGCTTGCAAGGACGCTGCTTGCTGCACGGAATTCAGAACATGAAGGGCACCGCTCCACTGGATTCCAGAAGCGCACGCCGAAACAACAGAGTTGTAGACAACGGGGTTCACATGCAGTCCTTCTTGTACGGCTGTACGAAGCACGCAGGCAGCCTGTTCCCACCGTGCATGGCTGTCACAAGCACTGACGGCAGCTGACAGAATGAAGCTGTTTTGTTGCAATCCGAGCATTGACACCTGGGGCTTGGACGATGCGAACATCCGTATGCCCGAACATCCCTGAATCCAAAAAGGCTTCATGAGCCGTATCAGCATCGTATGAGCCCTAATCCTTGCAAGCACATGAGCCCCAAACTCCAAATTTTTAATCCTTCAACCCGACTCCGACCTGGTGCAGGAGTGACAGGGCATGCTTCCAGCCGTCCTTGCAGGACACCGTGGCCGCCAGTGCCGAGGTGGCGTGGATTGAGTTGGCCCGCAGAGCCTGGCTTGGGGGCATAATGGGCTGGTGTTGGGAATGTGGAGACGTGGGGACCGTGGGGACAGCGCGATATTGGATGTTTCGGACCTCTAAGGACATGTTTAGGAACAGTTTGGCGCCTGCAGCCGAATGCTCCGCAGGCACTGAAGAGCTTCCTGCCAGCGGTTGCTGCGCGCCAGAACAGATAAGAGGATGCCCCAGGAGGTTTCATCTGGCATGCCAGCCCGGGAGACCAAGCTCAGGGCAGCTTCCCAGTCGCTGGAACGTTCACAGCTCGAGGCAGCTGCGTTGAAGCTGATGGCGTTGGTGCGCTGCAAGTTCCGCTGCTGGCAACTCAGTAGCTCTAGCCCGCAACTCCAAGGCATCTCGTGCCCGGCAATGGCAGCTCCGGCCATGATGACATTTGTCTCGACTCCTTGAATCTCCGCGGTCTTCAATGCTGCTAGGGCCGTGTTCCAGACAGGGGTGCAGGCCGCTATGGAAGCTCCGTAGCTAAAATGATCCGCCTCGAAGCGTCGGACTCGCATGTCCCGTATTACCGAGAGGCTGCAAGTCCAAGCCTCCCCACCACACGCAGAGGCAGCCACGTTGAAGAAGATCTGGCTGGACTGAATTCCTGGATGCTGGTTGAGCAGCATGAGGGCGGCTTGCCAGGAAGCCTGCCGAGCACAGGAACTCAGCAAGGACGTCCACACTGCCGGGGTGGAACCGAACGAAACTACCGCCACAGCATGTAGGGACTGCTGCCACTGTAAGTTCCTGGATGACCTGTTCGTGTCAGCATACGTCTTCACGTCATCTTGGCGACCGGTGGCCGCCCATGCCATGAGGCAAGCTCAGGTATCGCGCAGGTCTTTGTGCATCCACGTCACATGCTCCTTGAATGCACTGGAAGGAGATCAAGATCATCAAAGCAGGCACCATGGCCATACAGTGTCTTGCACAGGAAAGCCACACGGAGGAGCCGGAGGCACCAGAGACCCAAGCCCATAAAGCCCAAAGTCCCAAGCACCCAGGGCCCCTCTGACACGAATTAGGCTTCCAGAACAAGCTGTCAGAGACCTCCTACAGCCTCCACAGCTTTGAGCCATGATCCAGTGCAAAGGCCCACACCTTGACCAATGACCGAACTGAAAGGCGGCACTAGCCACTGATCAACACGGAAGCGGACAGCACATGTTGACGGCTAGCTGCATCCGAATGAACCAGCCTGTCCTGGCAAGTTCCATCGCTAAGCCCGGGCAGGTGTAAGCGCCCTTTTTCGCTCCATCCCGAGCTCCTGGTCGTCGTTCCGACCTCCTGGCAAAGCGGGTCCCTATGTAAACTCTCTCCACGAGCCAAGGACCCTAAAACCCTCAAACCCCAAGACATCTCCACCAAATCGCCGACAGGCGCTTGCAAAGGGCCTACAAGTGAACGTGAAGCCCCGAAGCTGGGAAGTCCTGAAGTCGTCAAGCTGGCGCTGAAGCCTCGAGAAACTTCTGGGTTTGCGCTTTTTTCCTCGCGCATCTTAAAGAAGTATGCTGCAACAATCGGTGTGTCGAAGTCACACTGTTCCATCCTGGACTCCATAACTCCCTGAACACCACTAACCCTCAATCCTACAAGCCCCTCAAAGCCTTGAAAAGCCAGCTTTTTCCGACCTCAGGCGCAGACTCTTCAGCGGCCTGGAGCTGCTCGCACTCGCGGCACCTGAGGCTTCAACTCCCCCCACGCATTGCACCAGTTGTTGGTCATCCGAGCAGTCACGGAAACCCTAAACTCAATCAAAGCAAAACACTGCACAGCCACAATGCCAGAACTGCAAGGCACACGGGCGAGAGCATGTCGAAAACAATGTTGGCACAATGTCCGGTATCTGTTATGTGAGTATATAAGTCTTTCCATCATGGGCCCTTGACGTGATTAGCTCAGCACAAAATGGCCAGTGTAGAGTTGCCTCTTGGTATACATCCCGTCGGCCACACAGCGCAGGCACTTGGATGAGTTCTCGTCTAGACCCATCTGTTCGATATATGGCGGGACAGGCTCTTGATCTAACAAAAAGACTGTCATCCCTAGATGAAGAGGTGCTCCTACCCACCCCATCTTAAGGTTCATGATTCATCCTAAAAGAAGACAATGTGACGTGCTCGCCTAGAGGATCTTAGCAGGGGGATTGGTCCAAATTACGGGCTGATTTGCTTCTCTGTTCTGGGGTGTTTTTTGCAGTTTACGGCCCCAGATTTGTAAAGCTCGCGTTGCCGACCCTAGCCCTAACCCCTAACCTGCAAACTCTGAGAAGCCCACGACAGGATGGCAGAGATCATCCTGGGAGGTCTGCTGAATCAAATGGGATTCCGATAGTTGTTTCAGCATCGTTCCTAAACCAAGTTGTGACCCAGTGTGTGACAATCAATATGAGAGACTGATCCAGGCGAGCGACTGCTGACGTGAGCACGACATGCGCTAACAGGTTTGGATTGATGTTCACGAGGCAGACTGAAGTGCTGGAAGATTATGTGATCGAAGCCCTCATGGCAAATTTTCCTCTTGCTTGCAGCTGTGCAGCGTGTTCTCGTCTGGAACTATTCCGTCTTCCTGCATCTTCTTCAAGAGCCACACAGCCTCACACAGCATGGCAGCTTCATCTATGGGTCCTTCGTATCCGAAGCCCACAGTTTGAGCACTAGCATCGAACAGCCTGGGCCCATTGTATCCCAACCTGGCACGCACCGATGGCAGCACCTTAGACTTGCACGGACCCGAGAAGATGGATGTCCGGTTTAGGGCTTAGGGTGCAGTGCTTAGGCTTAGTGGGATCGGAGCTCGCTGGGCCTCCCTTTGCTTGGCAACCGACTGTAGGCGATGCCATCCGGTCTCATCTGCAAGCTCCTGTCTCTGCAAGTGGCTGCCACCGACAAAGGCAGTATGCCCCTGCACCTATGACCTTCAAACTGAGCCTCGCTTAAGCAATGGAGCCACAAGAAGTAACACAAAGAGAAGATAAGAGAACCAGAAGCACTCCAAAGGCCGCATGCCACAGGAGAGCAGGCAACAGCAACATGAAGCAGGCAAGAAGTTTGCTGCTGAAACAGGACGCAGGTGTCAGAAGTTGCTGTAGCCCAGCATCTCATGCGGGCGTGCTTCGGGCGTGCTTAGTGGATCCATCCGTCAGAAAAAAACTGGCCTCAGGCCACAAGTGTCGCTTTGCGAGGGGGGGAGTTCTAGGTCAGCGTCCGGATTCCGGATTAGGTTGCTTGCAAGACGGTGTGCTGAGCCGAGACTCCAGTGCATGCTGCCGTCAAGATTCTCTAGCAAGCCTTCGCAAGACACAAAGCCACAGGTCCTTGCATCTTCGAGCAGCCGCAGAGACTTCTCCCAGTGGCCACCTGCCATGTGAAAACTGCCCAGCCTTCGGCTTCCTCCTCTCCAACCCCAGGTCTGCATGATCTGCCCTAAACACTGAAACCCTTCCTAGTCAGAGGGGAGGGGGCAGTCCCCACATTCCTGATAGATGCTACTTGCTCATCTCCTGTCTTGGACATGACCCAACTACACATCTCGCATCATTCCGCGACACATTTTGAATGAGTTTTTGAGAGATGACATGCTCGTGAATTCCAGAAGGGCTCGCTTTTACCACAGGCGCTGATGACGCCGCTGAAGGAAACCTCGCGGCGATGTCCCCAGGTAAGGTCAGGATACCATGCCAACCCTGATCCCTGCTTTCCCTGCTTTCCCTGCTTTCCCTGAGGCTCTGAAAATGTTCCACCCGCAAAACCATCTTAAACAAATCTGCCAAGACCTTCTGGGGCTAACGGGGTGAGTTGGGAAGGCTTCTGGGAAGCCTTCAGGTTCACCGATTACCCGATACGTACCCTCACCTGGAAAGACCTTTCTCGCTGCTCAGCTCTCGGCCAGGTCAGGGTACAATGACATCCTGTCAGCCTGGCTCTGAAGCCGAGAAATGCGGCTGCTTGTGAAAACGTCGCTCTCCGCTAACGTGCTGCAAACTGCTTCACAACAACAGACATGACGGAAGCCATGACGCCAACGTAAGCTGAATCCTAAGCTTCAAAAAGCCCCTCGAAACATTCCACTGCCCTGGCCCCGGCACCTCCAGAAGACAAGACAAAGCCTGCTCCCAGTCGCCAGCCTGGCGGAGATGACGCCGCATCCGACGCCACGCAAACATTGGTCGGGGTTTGGGCCGCATAACGGGCGATTTGGGCACAAGGATTTAGAACAGAACAGGGTTCAATTCGGTTCAGGATTGAAGGCGGGGGGTAGATCCAGGGTTTTGTGAGCTCACAGCGGTTCTGGGCCTTCTCGCTGGTGCTGATGACCTCGGAAAGTGGGCGTGGGCGCGCAACTTCGACATCCTGACTATCCTGACTACCCCCGTGTCATCTGGAATTCAATTTCAACAACGCTGCAAACAGCCAATAGCCCTAATAGCCCTGAAAGCCCTAAACTACTGCAACAACCAGAAGTTCGGGTGACGAACCTGCGCCTTGAACTTGGAGGCCGGGCGGAGTTCATGATAACCAGGTCCGGCTGCATTGTGTTGAGCCGTACTTTCTCCAAGAACCTGCGCTAGGGGCGGCTTGGGCCTCAAGGCCCCTTGCAAGTTTAGGGTTTAAGCGGTTTCAAGGTTGCTCGTCAAGAATGACCTGGGCCCTAAACCCTGAACCCTAAACCCTCAGCTGCACTGAGATTATGGGGAGGGGGGCCAAACCCTGCCCGAGGATGTTTGCTGAACCGAAGTCAGAATCCTCCCAAGCCTTAAAGCCATTGGAAGGTCTCGTGCACGATCGCATGCACTGATCGCGGCCTGAGGGATATTTCACTATAACGAAATGACAAAATAAACATGCAAGTATATTTTCTTTCATTCATTGATTTGATGTTTGTATATACTCATATAAACTATGTATACACTATGTATCCATCTATGCTTTGTTTAGCTACTTATCGAAATTTCCTTGCTTAATTACACTTGCCGCTTGTGTTTATGCATATTCATACGTGTATGTGATCATGAGAAATCATATCCTGTACACGAAGCGTCTCACGTCCCTACCGCTCCGGGTCATCGGCTCCAAAAATCATGTTGTCTGGCATGATGGATCGCTCATCCATCTCTGCCCTGCAGGCCGGACGGCACGTGCTGGATGTGGCATGGTACAGGGCCATAGTGGACGATGTCGGCAGCCATTCTCTCTATCTATTTAAGTCATTTTGAGCCATGAGATTCAGGTTGTCAAGAGCCTTCACTAGGAAATGTGAGTCTGCTCTAGCAGCGCACCCTTTGTGGCCCGCACATCAACTCCAGAGCCGTCTGCGCGTCGTTCGTAGCTCTAAGGGCAACGCTGTAGGAAATGACCTCAATCATCTGAAGACGCTTGTTGCTACTCACGCAGCAGCTCAAGAGGGTTTCGTCCACAGGACTACAGCCAACTTAAGGGTCTATCGTAGCTTGTCAACTGAAGTGCTTAGAGATCAATTTCGACACTTAAGGGTTTCTGCAAAAGCTAGGGTAAAGGCTTACGGCCGACACGGTTCTCTGTGACCGAGGGAGCTTCGGGAATCACGCAGAGGACTTGAAGTGTGAAGCACAAGCATGCCGGCGGTGCATCCATCGGTATGCCGCTGGATCGCATGTCCTGACAAGTGCAGTCGATTTGCCTAGATGGCCGGGCCTAAGTATTACCCTCAAACATAAGCAAGGACGAATGAGCACATGACGTGGGTCCTGAGGCTTTTTGCTTTGCGCTGCTTGGACAATACATGAACAAAGCATCAGGGAAGCGTGGCGGGTTTGGGGTCAAGGCTTGGGGCTCTTGGGGTGTAGATCTTAGGGTCGGTGCAAGTTTGTCTGTGAAACCTCTTCAAAATCCGGCATTCAATTCCTGTGCACTCGACGGACGAACAGCACTTGGTCCTGTTGACATGCTGCTCTCAGGGCTAGGCGTTCATCCGCCGGTTACATTTGTTGACCGTGAAACATGGGCAAAAACGGGACCGCCTTCCCTGGTTGCAGAAAAAGCAGCCTCGTCGTTAGCTGTTGTTCGCGTTGGCGAACGCACGGACTTCGTAGTCATAGCCCGCGGTGCAAGACCATGTAAAGGCCGACGACTTTATCAACACGAAGCTCTCCGAGTCCCCCGTGCTTTACTCTTCGTAGCATAAACGAGTTTGGAACCGTTGTCTGTTGCAGAGGTGGTTGGCCTCTGCTCGGTGCGTGTGAAACCTGCTCAGGATGGCGCATCCTTACCTGAGTAGCTGGCTCTGGCAGGAAGACTCCGAAAGAAGCTCAACTTTGCGGCGATACTTAGCTGAGCACAGATTCATGGAAACACCTCGCGAAGTAGCCTGTTACCTGCATCCTCCAGAAGCCTCGCTTGACGATTCCAAGCGGCTGTTTCGAACGTTTCCTAGGGAGATGGCAAGCTTTCGGGCCTCAGCTGCAAACGTTGAGACATTTGAGGCATACCAAACACATGTCCCATGAGCATCTTTCCTAAGACTGGCAAGAGTCCGTGAGCCAGAGTTTCCCAGACCACCACCGAACGTCTACCCACGACTTAAGTCACGCAAGGAGGGACCCCCACCACAAGGGGGTTTGCCTGTGGCTCAGGATTTAGGCACCCGGGCCCTTCCATCTCCCTTGAAAGTTGGGCCCCTTGCAGCGTCCAGAACCTGCTTCGTCTCCGCCATCGTCGGCCGAGACAGGCCGCTCTGGAGCCTGGGAGTCTGAGGGTTCAGCCTTTGGCCTTATAGGGTTTCAGGGGGATTCGGGCGCATGATGGTGCATGGGACACCGAACATCTCCACATAGTTTTACTCGAGGAAGCAGAAGGGTCGTGTCCCCGCACAAGGTGCCGGCTTTGGCAGGGACATGCCGCCAGCGGCAGAGCCCGCGTACCAATCCTGTCAAAGAGTCAAGCGTGCCAGTGTGAGTGTGTTTTCGCTTTCAAGAAAGTATGTGGCCATCGACACAGTGTAACGTACATGATTGAATGTGCTAGGGCTGCTGGCAACAAAATCAAACAGCAAGGATTTCCGAGGAAACCGACTCGCACAAACGTAAGAAGACGTTGCATCAACTCAACACGATAAAGACACCACCCGGATGCTTGAACACCAGGATGGACCCCAGGCCCTGCAGCATGGCAGACACAAGCCACCTTCCATGTTCCGGTTTTAAAACAAAAGCCAGTTCTGACATCCTCAAAACATATCAAAACCCTAAAGCCCCTAGACTTCCACATGAAGCCCAAACCCAAGGGCGACGTCGTCACCTGGGCCTTCTGCTGGGTCGGGCGATTCCGCTGCAGTGGCCTGCAGCATGTCGTCAAAGTTTTCAAGGCCGTGGGCCTTTCTCCCAAATTTGCCAAATCTCCTTCAGTGAACCGTGGAGGTGAAAGGCTGGTCACCGGGAATTCGAAGGGTCCGCGAAAAACAAAACCGCAAGAGGCATTTGCAAGGCATCCGAATGACCTGCGTGGGGAATGGGTCCGGTGTTCTCTGTTGCGCACATGGGGGGTGTGAAGAAGCTAAGCTGGCCACTGCAAGTACTTGGCGGAGACGGAAGAGAAGTCCTCACAGAACAAGGCATGAAACGAGAAATTGCCAAGCTCGGTTCTTCGCATTTTTTTCTGCGGCACCAGCAGTCCTCCCCACGAGCATTGCCTGACATCAGGCCGGACCTTGGCCAGAAAAACCAAACACCTTGTTTTCTCTACATACACACGCATTGTTTAACACAATTGGTAACAGACATGGTGCATCAGCAAGAATCTTGGACTCTCTTTTGCTTGGAGTCCTCTATGGAGTCAAGTTTGCCAGCTTCGGGAGGATCATGCGGCTTCTTGAGGGGTCCACTTCAAGTTTTCCGGGTCAAACACATTTCGAAATGGAAGCGAAAAACTGTCACAGGTTTTTGGCGCTGGCACGAGTAGCACCAGCACTAGCTACTAACACTGTGGTCATAACAAGGGCCGGGCAGCTCAAGCACAGGCTCGGCCAAAATGAGCCCTAAACCCGGAAGGCAATTGACTGTCCAAGCAAAACACAAAGTCGCCGGCTTGATGCCAAGACTCCCTTGCCGGACCTTGGGACCCGTATGCGCATTCATGTGTAGCATCAGTGTATACCTATGTGTACTACATACAATATATAAAACACATGCACGCATCTTGAGTGCACTTCTGATGTGCTGCTCTGTGGATCTGCCCGGTTGCTGTGGCCCCAGCTATGTCAGGAGTGGATGTTGACCGCTGCAACCTGCGATTCAGCAAACTGCCATGGTTGATGCAGTAAGGGGGGGGGTTCTCGCACTTGCACCTTGTTTTGGGTTCCTGCAAAAGGGGGGAATTCTGTTGGTGTGCATGAGGGGTATTGGGGGAATGCCCAAAACCACAAACCAAGCCACCCCTTAACTTCCCAAACCTCCAAGTGAAACTCCACAATCGGTGCTGGCAAGAAGCGAGCCGTTGGCTTTTCTTTTCTGGACGAGCTTCAGGATCCTCCCAGGTTGAGAGCTCAGGCTTGTAAGGTGTGGAGTTTGACAAGCTCTTGCTTCCTGGGTTTCTAGGTCGCAATTGAGAGTTCTTGCAAGCCCTGCTGTCACCGTGTCTGCTGCCCCCGCGGCCTGTCGCCAGTCTGCCTCGGAGGCAAGGCTGGGGCGACGCAAAACATGTCCTCAAGCTTACCATCAACAACCTTTAACACGCACACATGTATACATACACATATATATATATATGCACACTTTCTCCCCAACAAGAATGAAACATCAAACCAAACCATTGTGCTTGATGCCAACAAACAGATTCGAAGGAGAACCCCAAGGCGGTAAAATCGTGGCCACCCCAACCCCCCAAAATCCCACCCAGAAAAAACGAAGTCCTGAACTCAATCGACTCAATCCTCGAACACCCTAAAATCCCACCGTACCCATCCCCGCACACCCCCGAGTCGCAAGGCTGGGAACCTGGCCCTCTCACATACGCGCTTGTGTCGGCGCCTAGGGTCCTGCGCTTTGAGGGCCTTACGGGTTTGGGATTGAGGGATTCGAGGATTCAGAGTACCGACCTGGGATACCTTGATATTTCGAGCTGGGGGTCTTGTTTTCAATGCGGGTTCTCATGAGATCTCATCCGCAATCCACAACCAAACGCGTGGAAAGTCAAGTCGTGCTTGAATGGCTGACCAAGCAGTCCTGCTGGGACGGCGCACCAGCTCATCGGTCGGCTCAACGTTTAACTGCGCACGTTGAGGGCATCGAGAGGCCTTCTAGAGCCTTGGAGTTCGGGGTCTTGGGGCTCTGTGGCTTTTTGGACGTTAAGATATCTCAGATTTCAGGGTTCAGGAATCTCTGCCCCTCCCCCCCAATAGCCCTAGTATTCTAAACCTCAGGCTCGACCATCCTCGTAAGTCGTCCGACGGCTGTGCCTGCGCGGCCTCTGCGAGGGTGTCGATGTCCTCTAGGACCTGCCGCAAACATAAGATTTCGTGCCTGCCCCAAGCCATCATGGCACGACGTCGCGTGCCGCCTACACGGTGCCTACACCAAAAACACACACACACACAACAACACCTGAAGCCATAACCTCTTGGCCCACAGCCTGTTGATGCGGGTCCAGTGGGAAGGTCCAGTCTGTGCTGCGCTGGTAGACAAGGCCCTCTGGCAGGCCTTGCCTCAGGAAAAGCTGGGCTTGGATGAATACGGCTCAGGGTGCTCAGAGCTGGAATTGGATTGAGTGTTGGCATTGAATCAAGAGTGGCCGGGGTCGCCAGCAAACCTTGACGCTGTGACCGTACATCCCGGAGTCACAGAAGTGGTCTCAGTCAGCACCTACTGATCTCACCTACATTGAAACGAAATAGGCTTGTCCGCGTCGGGGTGGTGCCGGATGTAATGTCGATACCGTCGATAGCCGATAGCCATAGTCTCTACTCATCTGCAGATCCTCAAATCTGGTGCAGCTGCCTGCTGAATCCTATCATATCCACTCAAAGCCCCTAAACCCCGAAACCTAGCTGCTCAAGAACCCTGAACACACCCTGCTATGTATGTGCCCTCGTATCTACCCTATCACCCGCACCCCCCCAATCCCCACCCCATGACATCTTGGCAGCCTCTACGCCTCACAGCCCAAAGCAGCCCCAAGCCACCCCAACCCTATAAAAAAGTTCACAGGAAATGAAGAAATTACTGCCCCGATCCGAAAAATCTTGTTGCAGAGCAAACCTGCAACCCCAACAACACGAAACTAGATGTGCGTCCCAAGGCACTCCAGTGTCCCCAGCGCCGCCCCAGTTTCGTGATCCTAGGAAATTGAGCTTTCGTGCATCTCATCATCCTATTGCGGAAGGATGCTGTGGCGCTCCTGCTTCAGTTCGCTTTGCGCGCACCCAAACTCTGCAACAGGTGCAAACCCGAAAGGGTTCGAAAAGCCTAAACCTTCTACAACTCAAGCGTGATCTCAGACCCCTGCCCACAGTCGCACAGAAGCCTCTGCACCTTGGCCGAACATGATCTGGGCCCCTTCTCAGGCGACGTCAGGGAGAGCTTAAGGGAACAGTTGCGACTTGCGGGTTCCAAGGAGGCTCGTACATTCGACCTGAGCAGTGGAATCTTGTTGATCTTTGATTCGGCTAAGGTGGTTGGGTCTGGGTTGGCTTGGGGCTTTGGGTTGACGGATGCCTAGATTGATCGTATTTGCCCATTTCATTGCTAGAACATATCGGCCTCTTGTTTCGCGTGTTTTTGGCTAAGACACAGCATGTCAATGTGCCAAGGCCCGTGCCGAGCGTAATGAGAACTGGTGGCTGCCGCTTACCTGGGTAACTTGAGCACCTACCCGCCCTCGCCCTAGCCGCATTTTGAAAGGTAATCAAGATAAGGTGCGTAGGAGAGACATCAAACCCAAAACCCTTCACCCCGATCCCCGGTCCTCTACGCCCAACCCCTAAAACAAATCTCCAGAAGACCTGACCTAAAGTGCTACCGAAACCCTCACAACAAAGCTTGCTGGTCTTTGCACCCCTGTTGGAAGCTCTGAGAAGTGAGCAAACGAAGATCGCCTCCACGCTGAAGGCATGGGCTCTCTCAACCTCAACTGAGAGACTTGTTCTGGAGCTCTCATGACTCATGCAAAAAGCCAGTGGCTCAAGCTGGGCTCAAGCTGGGCTCAAGCTAAGGATGCAGCCATCCACCGGTTCTCTAGGCCGAACACATAGGCGGGCGAGTTTACCGGTCGTGGCCTTACTAGCAGAGAGCATGGTTTTTCCTCGTGCTCATAATTGTCCACGACGTGTCGCCCACACACTCTCTCACTGAGCCGTTTTTTACCATCTACTCCAGACCTGCAAGGGTACAGTCTTCAATATTTCGCTTTTGAAACAGCAAGCTCGCGGTCTCACCTACAGAGTTTGAGAAAAGGTTTGAAGGAGTTTGAAGCCGGGTCGAGATTAAAAGCGTGAAGCTTTCGACGTCACAACAATGTGCGAACCAGAACGCGCTGCATTATCGAAAGTTTCAAGAAGTTGAAACGTTGAGAGCTTGAGGGCGCTGGAAAGTTGAAAAAGCTGGAGAACCTAATCTTTGACTTCGAGAGGGGTTTCACTGACAAGCTTAAGCATTCAAGAGCTCGACGAGAGGCTCAATTCTTGAAGGCCGAGCGGAACTCGAGCGATGGCCCAGCTTGCGAATGTGGAGTCTGCAAGGCCCCCGAACAACCTGTGTCTAGGTCAAAAGCTTTCAAATTCAACGTAACGAATGCTGGGAGTCTCCAAACTCTCAAAATTGATTTCCCATCGAGCTCGGCCTCGATTGAAAGGTGTTGAACGACTGAGAGATTGAGAGCTGTAGAATTTGGAGGATTTGCGACCTTGAAAGCTGCTATGACACTGGGACTTTGCACACCGCAATCCGCGAACTTTTTGTGTTCAATGGCGAATGAAGCTTCGAAGCCTCAATCGCCTGGAGCTTCGATGGTTCTCGGACGAAAGGCCTCGCTCACGAGAAAACTCAGCTGCTGGCAGCGAGTCGAAGATGCGGCCAGAAATCACCTCCGCTGCCTCACCAGACCTTGGGGGAAACTTTGAAGTTGAAAGCCAACATCAAATGCGGCTCTACGTGCTCGTACACCTTCTTGGCCGTTGGCTCCTTTCTCCGAAGGATTTCGGCCTGCTGCTTCTTGGCACTCTCCACCACCACCGAGATGTCGATGGACGCTATAGCTGGCCAGCAGAAGTTTTGAGGAGCTCTTTAAGGTGGCATCTCGCGGATGCACACAAATTGGCTCGAAAAACTCGGCTTTTCCTGAAGATATCCTTCTTGCACCCCTGCCCCACTCCTGGACCACTCCCCCATTCGCGCCACCCGCTCCATTGATTCTACGGTCGAAGAAATTAGGCTGCAATGCCGCGAAATACATAGCCCTAGCCATCCATTAAGCCCTCTTCCCAGCCTCCACGGTCTGTGCCGACAAAGAGTACGCACTCGTCTGGCCAGCTAAGACCTGCAGGCGGATCTCTGCATGAGCTCCCACGGTCCGATCATCGCTTCTGCACAGGCAAACTGAAACTATCCGGCTTAGCTTCCAGCTCATGGAAGTGATTCCGACCGTCGCCTCCTGCAAAGATCAATCGATCTGAAGAGCTAAAGCAGGCCAGACATGCTACAGCCTCGCGGCTGGTGACATCGAGGACGATCCTCGGCATCACGGCATGCTCAAATCACAAATGAGTTCTGAAAGGCAGGAGAGGGAAAGCAAGTTATGGAAAACGTTAAAGGTGAGGCATCGCCTTCCACTCCGAGGCCAAAGCTGCAAACATCTGCAAACTCTCATTTCTTGCAGCTTCATGCCGAGACTCTTCGAGAAGAAGTCGTAGGGTCTGAGGGGAGGTACGGACCAAAAGATTGCAGAGCCTCTCAGAAAGCATTTTGGCACTGTTGACAACGAGCGATGAGGCAATATCGACTAGTAGCGCGTCAGTCGACTAGTCCTCGCCTGCATCGGCGGAAACGATGAGAGGTGCCTGTCGGAAGTATGAGCAGCACGACACGGCCTGCACGTCAAGGCATTGTATCAAATCATGGATGTTCCGGAGAATATGTGACGGCATCGACTTGCCTGCGAATGGTGCACTGCACACTGGCTGGTGTCCGCGATTTGCTTCGCAAAATCAGCACTGTACCTGCCGCAGCAGCGTAGCAGTGGAAAACTATAGAAGTCCTCAAGTCCTGACGGGTGCAACCAAGCTGCCAGCACACTTCTCCCTCCTCAGTAGAGATGACAAGCATTTCCCGCTCGTCGTGTGCAAACCTGCAGCAGAGTATATCAACCAGCGTGGGCTTCGCAGACCTCTCAAGACTGGAAGGGTTGTGCGACTGATGACAGGGATAGGGACTAGCATGCAGTTCTCATTCCAATCCAAAAGCCTGCGACAAAGTTCATGCTTGTGGCTTCGGATTTCGGCTCTGTCGGGGGAACTGCTGTAAGGCTAGGCCAACAACCGTTGTAAACCTCTGCACATCTGCTCGAACCCTAACCCCCTGTACCCAGCCGGCCTCAGGATGACACCTGCAATACCGACCTCAGGAAAGCCGAGAGCACGGTAATGAAAGCTGTGGGGGCTTCAGGGTCTGCACATGAAATGGCGGCGATGTAAGTTGACGACATCAATCTGCTTTAGCAGAATGGCCTTCTTCTCGTCCGTGTCCTCAGCGCTGATGCTCATCACGGCTTTGTTGCTCTTGGGGTTGCATCACTGTTGTTGCATCTTGTTGCCCTCACTCCTTCTCCGATGGACACAGTGGGTTCAGAGTTTCACCTAGAAGCAGCAACCCAATCACGTTGGAACGGTCTGGCAGCTAGCAAAATCGAACGCAGAATCCACACCATTGCACAGCAGTCCAAGCCGCATCGTGGACATTGATGACCTGGGTTGGGGCCGAAACCCATTGAGCGCTTGGCAGCTTTCAACAAGACATCACATCTCACAACAAAGCCCACCTTCTCTGGGGCCGACAGCGTCAGCACTTTCCCCGGCATGCACTCGATCTGCGCGACCTCTCCAGGCGTCCGTGTCCAACTTTCAAGGGGCAGAAGATCAGGGGGGCTCTAGGGGAGTCCAGAGTCGAGGCTCCAATACGGGCTTGTGGGGTCAAGTAGCTTTTTGTAGCTTTGGAATCTCAACACGTTCCACTCCATCAACCCTCCAACAGCCTGGCATCCCCCAAATTCACCCTAAACCCGCAAAAGTCACAGGATCCAAAATCGTACCCCTACAGGAGTCTGCCCCGAAAAGGCACCCTTTTTTACCTGAATCGCTTATAGATCTTCCCTGCAAAGGGTCTTGAAGCCCAAGGGTACAACCACGATGGCTGCAAAAAACCCTCAAGCCTTAAAACCCTAACACCCCCAACGCTCCAACACACCCTAATGCCCTCATGTCATCTCACGTCCGCACGCCTCGTAGGCATGGGGAGTCAACGTCTTCAGCTTTGCGCCGCAGGCCTCAGGGCTTTCGGGCTTGCAGGGGTTTACACGGCCTTGCCTTCTTCTGGAGCCCAGGGTTGAAGGGCTCCGGGCTTAGGGGATTTTAGGGGCCGAGGGAAAGAAGAACAGCCTCTCCTTGTTGCCAATCCATGCAGGCTCTGGTTCCAGGAAGATCTCAACGACTTTGCAACCCTCCTCAGCCCAAATCCCATTCTAATATCATTTCTGATGCCCCGGTACAAAACCCTCATGCACCCTAAACCCTAAAGCCTACGCCCCTATAAACCCGAAGGAGCCCTGAACTTGCACCCCTGAGTTCAACAGCACTCATGGGTAGTCCCTGAGGCTCCCCGCAGCATTGATGCAGTTGATGTTCCCTTCGTCATCTCCCACGAAGATACGCCGTTCCCCAGCACCGAAGCAAAGGGCCTCGGGAGACCGGGGTGTGTATGTTTTGATGTCGCTTTAACATGTGTTAAGATTCTGGCTGATAGGCATAGCTTACTATGGCCGCGTATAGTTTCATTCGAGCGTGGGGTTTCAGGGTCTGGGGCATATGTCAGGTTTTCGGGGCCAGGATTTCTTGACCTATGTTCCTGTCCTCGGGGTCTGCGAAACCGAGTGTGCTGCAGTGATGTTGGCATCGATGACGTTGTCATGGATTTGGAGCCGCTGTCCTGTCAGGGCCTGAGTCACCATACGCCATACGCATCGGAAGGCCAGCATCAGAACAGCAGCTACGTGGCGGGTGTAGCCTTCACCCCCAACAACACATTCATCTTGAACCGAGGTTTCTTCTACCGAACTCATTGACCAACACTTTCAACGCGATCCTCATCGTCTTCCCACTTGTGACTAACTGCAATCATTGATCGGCAACGTCCATTCTTATTTGTTCAGGTCGGTTGACGGGAATTTCCCCAAACTATCGGTCTGAGGTTCTGAGCTTGCAATTCTACTCAATTCGGCAAAAAGATCGCGAGACACGACAATGTCTAGGATCTCGGGACCTGTCAGACGTAAGCCATGCTCAACAATGTCCGCATGATTCACAACGTGCCGAAATGAATCTTGGAGCCTCGTCAAACACTGCAGCTTGCACACGTTCAGGCTCCAGCATCCCACACATACAGGTCGTTCTTGATGGGAGTGATGATTTCTAGGTTCCTGCCATGCAATTGCTGCTGCTCCTGCTCCTGCACTACTACTACAACTACTTCTACGATGATGATATGACATAAGCCCACAAGTCCCTGCCTGTGATCGAAGGCCTGGCAGGTGCCAACGGAGAAGCAGTCGCAAGGGTGACTTCAGCATGCCAACATAGGTTGCCATCATCCGCAACTACACGAGTGAGCCAATATTGTGAGTGCCAGCGTGATTTGCTAACGTGGACAACTGTGTTCACAGATGTCAAGGAAACTTCAGCTAGCTTTGCTGCAATCCAGGCCAATGGCACCAATGCATTGATGGGCCAGTCGGAAGTCAGCTTCGGGTCATTGGCATCTCGGTCGAAGACCACGATCCTGAAGACTTTATCCAAGGCTTTGTGCCCCGGTGTCATTAAACAACGACTCGTCTGCCTGCGACCAGAAATGACCACGCGATCCCGACCTGGAGAGACATTAAGCACTCAATGCGGAGCATGTGATGAGGAGCAAACTGTGAAAAGCCCGCGAGGCACAAGCAATTTCGCGCGGACTCCGCGACTCAGCGCGACGCTCAGCGGGCACAGCGCTCGCGGCTCCAGGCGCTCCAGCTCGCCAGCCTGCCACCAAAATGTCGCCAAATGGCTTTTGCTACGGATCCTCGCATACCTTAAGTAGTTTTGAACTGCTGACTTGCGAAAGCGGCTTAGGAAGCATGACCCCAAAACACCTGCAGGAGACATCTTTGGCGCCTCCTCCGCCCGACGATCCGTTGCATGAAAGCTTTGGATGCAGCATAATCGACCTGGGCCCCATCTATGCGCAATCATACGCATCATGGCCTGCAAGATCAATATATATATATATATATATATATATATATATATGTCGACGCATGTTTGTATGTATATATGGATATGGATACGTTAAATATTTATTTATGTATGCACGTATGCATGTACGTATGTATGTATGTATGTACGTACATATGTATGTATACACATACCATGTAGATGTGTGTATATGTATGTATGTACATATACGACATGTATATGTATATGTATCTGTATATGCATATATTATATACCAGAAGTACTAGTGCAACAAGGGCGGGCACGCTTAGCGCGAGGCGTACATCCCAAAGTCGCACAACACCGTCAAAGTCGACACCTCAGCCAATGCCCGGATGCACAGTACCTTTATTTCTGTCTTCGCGACAGCCACAAAGATGAAACTCTACACACATACATACATACATACATACATACATACATACATACATACATACATACATACATACATACATACATATATATACACACACGCGCGCGTACACACATTGCACACATCGACGTCGGCCTTTGGCCAAAATAGCGCACGCTATCGTAAGTTGGCACAGCGACTGATGGAACCAAATCATCAAAGAATCAAGCCGGTCTCACAAGCGACGGCCAAAGAGGCGAAGTCTCCACCATTACAAGCCATTGCAAGCAATCTTTCAAGCCTATACCGATGCAGGATGTCTTGCCAGATGCCTTGGACACACACGCGCGAACCAGGGCCGGGACTCATGAACTCATAGTCTGTTTCCGGCATCTTGCATAAGCCTGTCACGCTGCACTCGTGCCCCGTCCTCGGTGCCAGAGTTGCATGCCGCATCCTTGACTCGTGGCGCCCGGACAAGCGGCACATGAGCTCCGATCTTCCAGCATTGCCAACGTGTTGCACCAGTACGACAGCACGAAGAATGACTTCCCTTGCTATTCCGCTGTCGCCACAGTACGCTAACAGGACCCAGATGTACCCAGTAATACGTACAAGGATCATCCTTTCTGTCAACCTGTCGTCTCCTATGTGGCCACTGCGAGCTGGAAACTAAGCGGCGCGCAGCTTGAACGAGAGGGTCCCTGCCTGGGGCCGGGCTCGTCTTGCTTGGGCTTTAGAAGCTTCAATTGGGTTTGGTTCGGGCCTCAGTCAACGACAGTGGTTTTAAGGTTTGTTACTTTTCGATCATCAGAACCAACTTTCCACGAGGAGGGGCTCAGGGGCGCCTCGCTTGATCTGAGGGTGGTGTTGACAGAGTCGGTACCATCGGCCATTATCAAAGCACGTCTTTCGTCTCGGTACAGCGATTGCATCTGTTCAACGCTGCTTTGAGAAGCGAATGTTAATGATGGCACATTGTTCAACGTCCCTGGATCTATAAGATATCCGAATGCACGCTCTATATCATGCTGTAGTTTGCAAGCTTCCTGCTATGCTCCCGATCCATGAGCCTCTCTCCATATACTTCCATGCAACCACAGCGCACCCACATCTGAAGGAAGAACACACCGAGTTCCTGGGACGCCATCTGGTGCTCAGCCGTCGTAGCCCTCAGCCTGAAACCTTCTCCCTACACTCGGGGCTTGAATCTTGCATTTCTTCAAGGCAAAAGCCTGACTTAGCTCCGAAACCAAACTCCAAACCCCCAAACCCTCTCGAGGATTCTTGATTCCTGAGCTTGCAGCGCTGGGATCCCAGATGACAATGTAGTTGTCCTGGTTGGACTTTCCGCCGCACAATAGGGCTCAAGTGATTCTTCTAGCACTTCAGTGTCTGACTACTGCGGCCGGATATAGGCAGACGGACGGACATGCATACACAACAGACATACATACATGTATACATATAGAAAGCAGGCATACGTACAGTACCTTACAGTACTGTAAACAGCAACAGCCAAAGCCAGCCAAGAATCAAAGCCAGCGCTCAGAAGCATCTGGCTCTTTTCGCAGAACTCGAGGCAGGTGAGGCCTCGGACGCCCATGCTGAACAGGGCTTAAGGGCTTCAAGAATTATGCAGGCTTTGTTGTAAGGTTTTGCTTCAGATGCCCTAAACACCCTAAAAGGGTGTCTAAGGGATTCAGGGCATCCGACCCGGGCGCTGTTCGCGGAGCCTGGTGACCTCTTGAGCCCGCGAGTTCCCATCAAAAGTGCGGGGAGTGAGATGGAGAGGGGGTACCGCTCTTTTCAGGCCTTGCATGGAGGCTCGGGCAGATGAGGCGGACTGAGGACTCCCGTGTGTTCTCTCTTTCAAGAAGTCGCATCGAACAACTCCTATCCCTTCCATGGCCGATTGCGTATTCACATGTTCTGTCACGGAAAGGAGCTCTAAACAACCTTGTCAATGAAGAATGGGGACTTGCAAATAGCAGATGCTTTTTGTGACGCAGCGCTCTGGAATGACTGTCGCATCGGATTTTTTGCGACTGCCTCGAGCGTCAGCAAGTCAGAACCTAAGTGGCTTGGCCCAAGCACTTCCGCACTCTGACCCTTCTGCTGCGAGCAACTGACAACTGCCGATGCTTCCTGCCTGCGGCCCTATTGCTATGCCCACATGAGTACTGCTCGCCACGACTGGCATCATGCTTGCCGGGACACTTCAGCATGTCTCTTGCCATGAACCTCAATAGTGGCATCGCTCATCTCGGATACGACTGCGCATGATGGAGGGAGACAGTGCTGTGCTTAGCAGAGAGCGTTAGAGAGGCAAAGGGAATGAAGATATAGGACACACAGAGAGCGACACCAGTGCAGTCACAGCACCACGGCTCTTCCATACGCCGAACTTGCCATCCGGACGAGCCCCAGTTTGCGGGCCCTCCTTCCCCATCCTGGATGATGCGCATCTCGAAGTCCCACCTTACTTGCGGCAGCCGAAACCCCAAGTCTGCAAAACACCATTTGTGCGTCAGAATGGGTCAGAACTGCTTTCTTTGTCTAGCTCAGGCCCCCGCTTTAAAAGACGGATGACGCCTCGAGGCGTCTTGGAGCCCTTGTAGAGGTACAGCTCTGTGACCTGGCAGAAGGCAAAACGACGGAATTCCAAGTTTGAGAGCTTATGGTTCAGGTCCAGGGACTCTAGGGCTTATAGGCTTTCAGGGTTTTGGGACGTATGGAAGGGGATGGCAAGAAGATGGTGCCTTGATCAAGGGAGTGAGGACCAGCGCCGGAGGCGCATCCTCTTCCTGGGCTGGGGATTCCGCTGCTTTCAGATGCAGGCGCCCTGACTCCTGACACTGGAAACCTAAACTGGAGGAGTAGACCGAAACCCTGCAGAGTTAACCCTAACCAAAACCTCCTTTCGGGGTCTTGCCCCCAGTAAGCACTTCGTAAAGCAGCTCTTTTCACTCCCGAGGACAGTGCAGAGAAGCCAAAAAACATCCCGTCCCTGCACCTTGGACATGGAGTCAGTTCAACAACCTTGAAAGCATCACGCCCCTACTCTTCACATGGCCGGCCGAACTCTTCCCCAAATCCTCTTCGAACCTCGCGCACCTAAACCTTCGAAATATTTACGTGCAACCCGACATTGCCAAAGAGCTTGCAATGAGCGGGACTGCAAAAGCGCCATCACATCCACAGACTCCAACCTTGCAGGCAGCGCTTTGCGTCATGTGTTGCTGGCACCCACCCAAACACGCAGCCCTGAGAGTTGAACTGTAGCTTCTCCGACATTCGGCTTAGGATTTATCGGGTTGAGGGTTTATCGGGTTTTGAGGGCTGCCCTACACCCTAAACCCCAAACCCTACGCTGCCTGGGCGGCTCCGCCCAGTCCTCCTTCTCGGTGCCGTGGCGGTCCTTGTCTCGAAGTTCCTGCTTTGCAGGACTCAGAGCCCACGTTGTTTTGGATTTCAACACAAAGGAGAGAAAGAGAAGAGCTATAACCAAAACCACAAAAAAGAACACATTGCAGAGCGAAGAAGTTCTACAGAGAACAGACCCCCAAAAAATTGAGGCTTAACAGCATCCTGACGGAATCGCTTCAGTCTCAAAGACCAGGTTGCCACATGTCCTACGCGTACTTACGCAAGAGCCCATGGTTCCAACTTTAGAAAGAAATACAAACAAGCTCGGCATACTTTATGGAGAAGCTCGCTTGCCCATTCTTAAGAAACCAGACCCGAACCACACACAGCTGACAGCACTACGGTCAAAACAAGTTCTTGTTTCCGTTCTTGCTTCTTCCCTGGGTTGAGGCAAAAGTTTCTTTCGGCTATTGACATGGCAGAGCTGCTAGACCTACTGCCCTGCCTCAGGAATGCCTCAGGACCCTCTCGGACCTTGGGTCCTTGAAAGAAGCTGTTGAACGCGAACTCTGCGGCTCTTGTGGTTTCAAAAGCCCTCGCCTGGAGAAGGCCGGGCGTCACCAAGCCTTCGAGCTCGTCAAACTGCTCCTTCCCCAGAAGGTCGTGGACACAATGCACCGCCTCTGCAGGTCTCCAGGGCTGCTCTAAAGGACTGCAAGACCCTAAAACAACCAGTTTGGTACAACCCGAGTTGGTTTGTTCATGCTTGGGCGATTGGATGGTGCGTGATGTGCGAGGCAGGACGAGATGGGAACAAAGCCGTCAACAATGTGGCCTTGACAGCCAATTACTCGATCGCGTGCCTGGCACAAAAAGACTAATTGTTACTCTTCAGCCCTCGCCACTCCGACTGCACAGGGTATAAGAAATTCATTTGAAGGCAACAAAACCAGACCCGATAAGCACACACAAGGGCCGCCTGCTGCGCGCCGTCGGCGAACGCCGCCCACTTCAGGTTCAGCTGCGGAAACATAAAATTCATCTTAGCTGGATCCCGGCATCGTTAAAAAGAATGCCCACTGCCTCGTACCTAAAGCACAAGCGCAGCTGCAGGAAAAAGTGGCAACGCGGACAAGGCTCGAACCAAAGCGCGCTGCGATGGACGACAAGTCGCAGTGGCAGTGTAGAAACGTCAAAGAAGTCCCCCGAAGTGATGCAGACCTCTGGCTCTGGCCGTCTTAGGCTGATTCACAGTCTGACCGGCGCAAGCTAGCGTCCCAGCATTCGTTAGCAAAGCTGCGGACACGGCGCTTTGTACTCCATGACCTCCGCGTTGCTCTTGCTGCCACTCTTCCGTCCCTGGAGGGTGTATTTGATCAGTCCAGGAGGCTTTCGGCTTGAGGTGGCCGGAGACCAAACACTTGAATTCAATGCCAGGACCATTTTAACCCTAAAGAAAACAAAGCTCCCCCCCCCCCCCCCCCCCCAATCGCAAGTTGCAGCCACGCTGTATGGGGTCCTGGTGTTCATCTGGATCTCTTGTGTCAGAAGGAGTCTTCTCCTGCATCGGTCCAGTCTATTGTGTTCAGCCCCAACGGCAGGCGACAGCAGCCATCCTTGTTTGACCCATCAGACTTTGCTGAGGTACCTTCTCCTTGGATGGATGCATTTGACGTTGGCCTGCAAAGCCCTCGAACCCTCACTTTTCAAGACCGACATATCCCATCCGATGCGTATCTGAGCTTCCTGAGCTGTAGGAGCCTCTCTTTCTACAGCATGCTGCTTAAGATGAGATCCCTGTAGCATACTCATCCTAGTTGCTGTCTTCAGGCGGCGGGGTCGGTGTCTCCGCAAACCATCTCCGCGACCCACGCAAGCTCCTTAGAGGTTGTATCTGAGCAGATGGTCGTAGTGCTGACTCGGAGGATGCGCCAACATGAAAAACCCCTTTAGCCTTTCACCAGCAAGGGGCATCGATGAAATCGGACATGGCTGGCGGGCGGCCGCAAGGCTTCTGGCCAACCTCGTGTGCCACCTGCGCTAGATTCAACAGGTGGGCTTTTCAGGGCTTCAGTGGCAAGAATAGCCTGTCAACCCCACACTGAAGCCCTGGGCGCGGAAACAGCACCTCTCAAAAAAAGGCTCCTGCAGCCGAGCCACGCCCGCACAGGACCCCACAAGCGCTGTGGGGAGGCCATGGCACAGCCGAGTTGCTTGAAGTTGAAGGCGACAGTTGGTATTTTGCTGGCAAGTGCTTGGGGTTGTGGGCTTTAGGGTGTACGCCCCAACTCAGGATTCAAGGGTCTCCATGGTTTTGACAAGAAAAAGAATCTACAGTGCGTTGAGCTGGACAAGACTGATGGGCTTGCAAGCTTTTGAAACCGCTTTGAGGCACAGGGCCGCAACATCTAATCTTGAGCCGAGCAACCGCCACCGAAAATGACCCCTTATCGCCTGACAGCACTGGGCTTATTTATCGTTTTTCACAACAGCTACAGGTTTATGGGTCCGACTGGTAGTAGACGCGCGTCAATTAATATCAATAAGCCGTGCCGCACATCGCCAGGGCCTCGACCTTTCGTATGGCCTTGTAGAACGTGTGACCGCGCCTGCCTTGTTTCAGCGTTTCAAGGCGCTGAATCTGAGAGAACGGGGTGGTGGCTACCAACCGGCAGAGATCGGAAACACCACGAAGCACCCGTAGTACCCCGCATGTGATTCCAGGACCCGGCTGAACGGTGTCAAAGATCTGGACGGTGGTATCCAGCGAAGCTGTGGCCAAGCACCTTGATCGGTGCATTTTGCTTAAGACATGAGGAAGCGGCACTTGCGGCAGAATGCAATGTGAGCAAATCGATAGTTCGACTTCAGTACGGAAATGAATCCCAAACTGGTCCAAGGATGAGACTGGAGTGGCTCCAGCCACTTCATCGCCTCACCAAGATAGGGCTGTTCCAGGAAGAGTGTCCTGCCGTGCCTCCTACTGGGGTGAAGGAAGAGCCAGCCACCACAAGTCGGAAACAACGAGGCGGTGGTCGGGGAAAAGGGAGGCAAGATCGTGAAACAGCAGCGAGGAGGTCAGGACTCGGGACAGGCCAAACAAGAGTCAGGAAATGTGTTCATGACACGTCGTGTAAGATGATATTGAGGATGTTTTGCAGAGGTACCGCAGAGCCAGCCCCTACTGGCTACCCGCAGCAACCGATTATGCTAATTTGAAGGCGGTGCCTGGATGGCTTTGGTGTGCCCGTTCTTGAACCTCAGAGGCTTCCTAATGCAGGCGGCGTAGAGCTTAACGAAGCTAGGACTTATCGAGACTTAAGGGCTCTTACGGATGGTAATTCCAGGATTGGGATGGAAAAGCCGGCATGGTTTTGGCATTCTTGGCTTACAGGGTTTCGAACTGTTGGTTCAGGGTTGAGGATTGAGGGAGCTTGGTGCCCCATATGATCTTTTGGGCGTCTAAGTCCATCGGAGGTCTCACGCTGAAGCTGGCCCAGTGGCTGTGGCTGATGTGGCCTAACGGCGGCAACACAGAACTAACCCGATGTTAGCTAAACCTCTGTACAGATTTGTGTTGCACTTCTGGCAATAAGCGAAGCTCTTGAAACCCAGCAACTGAGGGCTTTTAGCGGCGTTTTTGGGCGAATCCGAAGCCCAGAATCTCAGGCGTATGCTCCAAGCTTTTGTCGGGCTTCATGCCTCCTGATCCGGTCCTCAGCTCTCAAACAGAGCGAGTGCGGGAAGTCACGACCAAGGAGCAAACAAACCGGAGGAACTCCTCAACGACCCCCTACAGTGCCCTACAGTCGCTAAACTCTGCCAGGCCCTGGCAGCCCTCAACATCCCACCGACCTTTGAATCCCCCAATGTCGGGCTTGGCCACGTCTTCACTTCCAGCTCATCTCGGATGTGCCAGCCCCAAAAGCGGTGGCTGAAGTGATCTGCTGCATACAGAGCCTCAGCTGGAGGTTTGAACATGAGCACGGGCAGAGCCCCAAACGTAATTGTTGAACAGTGAGTTTAGGCGGTGTTCGGGCGAAAATTTTGAAATCTTCGCAGGGTTCATGCAGCATGCGCTCGGCCTGTCACAGCGATGTGCTGTCTGCTGGCACGAACATGCCTCTACACATCATACTCGTCCAGCCTGCCTCACTTCAAGACAGCATCTTGAATTCAATAAGACTAGTGTGTCGATGAATCTCAATGCCGAAAGCTAGGCAAAAAGGACAAAGCTACAAAGCCATGCCGAGGGGACGTTGATCTCTTCGCACCAGCAGAGTTCGCCCACCACCTCCTTGAGGCCTTCGCTTGGGGGACGAAACTGACGAAACTGACGAAACTTTGTGGAGTCAGAGGTGTTTAGTTGCACGCAAGAGCCAAGGCGACAGTGACAGTACGTAAATGTCTTGTTTCTTTGGCCCTCTTTAACTACAGCTTTAAGACTAAGACCCCCCCTCCTCAGCACTTTAAACCCTAAACCAAACCTATGCATGCATAGCGGAGTGAGGGAGCGGCTCCAACGCTTCACCAGGTTGAAAGCATTGGCATCCTTGGGCAGGTGCAGATATTTGGCTGCGCTTTCATGCGGCTCAAGCTGGTTGAGGGTGTCGGGGCGCTAAGGGCCCATCCCAGAAACACAGCGTCTTGTCGTTGCCGGATGTGACAACCAGGTTGACGTTGGCATCTTCCCTGGGCATCCCATCTTGCTGGAAAGGACAGTTCACTTGTGGGGCCCACCATATGACAGCTCTGCGCTCTGCTGAAACGGCCCCCGAAGCCTGTCTGTGGAGAGGAAGGCCGCCGCGAGGAGATCGCTCTGATGCCCATCCACTCCTTGGCTCCAACGCTCAAAGGAGCCTGTTCAATTCAGCCGCTCTGAGGGGGCCACTGCGGCGCCGAAGCATCGTCTGCTGCCGGTGTAGGAAGAAGCTGGCCTGCAAAACGACACGCGGCACAGGCGCTGGTCCCCCCGTCCGGGGCCTGAAGAAGAGTGCTACACGTGCCCATAGCACTCGCCATGCATTCGCAGCATTCTCACCGCGATCTGGCTGTCCGCAGAGTCTACATCGACACGTCTACAGTCACAGCGCCAAATAGCACCAAATGCCTGGCCCTCCTCGAAGACAATGGCGCTTTCCATCGGATGCTTCGGCCTTTGAAGCTCGAAGGATCTCGGAAGGACTTCGACGGCTTCGTTTGAAGTGGCTCTCTAAGGCTCCAGCCAGAAATACACCTTGTCGAAGTGGCACCTGGAGATGCTGAAAAGATAGCAAGAAAAGAAGGGGCACACTTCGATGCAACATTTCGACAAGCAGGTGTGATTGCGCAGCATCAGGAGTGCCGCAGCCAGCCATGGGTGAGCTCGTGGCTTCGTGATGGTCGGCTTGTAGGGTGGCAGAACCTAAAACTGAAGACTCAAGGGAGGTAAAGAATGTTGCCGCTTGGAAGAAGCTTCTTGTGAGGGCTCTTGATCTGGGATGCAACCTGTACGCCTTACGAGTCCAAAGATTTGAGCATCACAGCATCTTGCTTCATGGCGTCGACCGACGCGCCAAAACCGAAATCCTCAATCGAACCTTCAACTCGAGCCCGCGGCAAGTGAGGCCGTATGGAACTCGAAGATCTGACCCGACCTGCACCACAAGCAGGTTTGGGAAGACCAGGCGGGGCAGGGAAGGCTAAAGCCTCAAATTCCCAGAAGGCCCTCCCCCACCCTAAAGCCCTGAACCCTAAACCCACAACCCTCGGTCCAAACGCGGTCCAAGGGTCAGCTCCTGAGCCTTTAGCCGAAGCTCCTCGGCCACAGCCTCGGAGGCTTTGGGGAGGGGTTGTCTTCATGGTGCCGTGTATAACGATATCAGCGGCGAAACGGGGACATCCCATTGTCAGACTTGGCCCACAGTACCACTGAAGCCCTCAAACCCGTGAGCCCCAAATCCTCGCACCTTCAACCCCAGATTCCCGTCAAGCCGACATATCACTTATCACCTCGAAGAGACTACTTATTGCACCCTGAAACAGCTTCAAAACCCCATAAGCAACACGCCGCCAGGGACTGGGTTGCCGGCACTGATGAACTCGACGAACTCCATCCACGATGTTTCCCCGGATTGATCCACATCCATCCCTGCATCGAGCTGCAAATGCTGCGAGGCACCCGCTGTGGCATACAAGTGGTCGTAGCAGTCAAGAAAGGCTGAGGGCTCCAATTTCCATGCCCAGGCATCCAAAAACCTCATGGGGCTTGTGCGTGTGGGAGTGGCCTTCGAAAAGCTTCAGCACGGAGAGGTGCACCGCCTGCTTGAACGATAGGCGGCTTTGTGCATAAAGTTGCGCTATACGAGAGCACACTACCCCCCACCCCCCACCCCCCTGAACATCAGCTGATGGCTCACAGTCTGCAAGGCTGAGGGTGCTCACGAGCTTTCGCTCTTCGTACTTGGGAAAGGCTGTCGAGTCCAGGCGTGGGCAGACCTGTCAAGATTCATGTCCAACAGTCCCTTATGCAACTGCCTGCCCAGAGCAAGACCGACGTTGTCCATCTACCCGAAACCCCAAGCCCGAAACCACGTAAACCTCCAACATTGCCAGCAGTACTCTGGAGAAGATTCGCAGGAATTCGCCCGAGTTCAGCTTTTCACCATGGTCTTCGAACCTGATGCTCAACACAATGCCGAATCAGCATAGAGCTTGCACGGGGTGGGGGATCCTTGTTGTGCATACATAAATTGTATATTTATATACGTACATTTATGAGATTTGAAACCTACCTAATATTGTGAATCCTGGAATTAATTATGTTTGCGAATGTTTGGTAAAAACTTCGCGAAACGATTTGCAAAAAGTATGCATCCCAAAATGGCTTGTAACATCCTCCCCCAAGAAATCGAATCAGAAATCAAATATGTAGGATTTCTGATTAGAACCCAATAGAACCCCACGAAACACCAGCCTACATATTGTATATTTCGTGTGGAGGAACACGGCACATGTCGCCCATTTTGAAAGCCACGCCAGCCCATTTGCACCAAGCCGAATACATGTGCGTTACAGCTGCTTTGCAAAACTTGCGATGGGAAGGCCGAAAGGTCAGAGGCCCGACGCGCGCCCGCAAGATCGTTCTAGTCACGAGAACCAACCCACGCCAGTGTCAAAGGCCAGCCATGACATATCAAGTTCAGGAGCACAAGCTTCGAAGTGGAGGCCTGTGCCAAACAGATGGCTATTTTATGCTATTTTTGGGGCAAGTGTTGCCAGCACAGGGTGGAGGGCAGAAGTTGGTTGACTGCCACTCCTCCCGGTACCCAAACAACCGAACGGAAAGGCCCGACGAGGCAACGTAGCTGCGTTGCAAGTGTTCTCCGTTGGTTGGGCCCACGAGTCAACCACCTTCACGCCACCGTCTGGCGACACCATCATATCACCTGTGCAGATGTCCTACTGCACGTGCTCGCCGGGTTTGCGACGTCACCGGCTGATCTGGCACGAGCCGAAAGCGTCATCTCAGACAAGCAGTCGCTCAAAGGACGGCCTGCAGCCAACCCCCGTCGTGAAAGAGGGCCCCAGAGCCTCCGGCATCTGCCCACATGGCTGGAGCCGGGATGCGGGGCACAAGGTCTGCTATCAGGCTGTCTTGCTTGTCTGCAACGCGAAACGGCCCCCAGGCCTTCCAAACTTTACGGCTGCACGTTGGGGAGGTTCTGAATCGGATGATGCCGGTATCACCCAAGCCCAAGCAACCGTTAAACAACCTTTCCAAACACAATACTTCTTGAGGAGTTTGTTCTCTGTTGACAATTTGGCCTGGGCGGCGGAGTCAGGTGGCACGAATTCTGGCCGCTTTGGGCAAGCAAGAATGCTCACCCACGAAGCAACAAGCCCAAGCTGCCACCAGGGCCGCGACAACCTTCAGCAGACTGTCCCTGCTCAGGCATGAAAGAGGTAAAGCGCGGCGATTCTGCCAGTACTGCCAAAAAGCGCGGCCCCTGAGATTCCCGTGAGAGCACGCTACATCGCCGCCACATCCGAGCGTGTAACCATCCAGCAAAGGATCAAAGACTCCGGCATCTTGCAGACTCCGTACCAACAAGACAGACCTGTTCCACATGACATCGGCAAGGCCCACATCGTCCTGATCTTCCGGATCAGGACATTCAGGGAGCTGGCACATCTCTGCTGACTCTGGAAGCTGCCAGCAGCCGGCGATGACACCGAGGAAAAAGAAAGCCCCAGCAGCGAACGTTGAAAGATTGCTCTTGGCCCCGCGGGCCTTGCGCTGGGGCTTCCGGAAAGGTGGGCGGGCCATCTGACAAGATATCAAGTCTTGGTGCACCCGGAATTGATGTCACTGCTACCTTGCACGCACTGGCATCGGGGTTTACATGTCTGTAATTCACTTGCAACTTATATGTTGGGAAATAACATCCACAGAGCTTTTTGTGTTATCTTTCAACGCGTGCAATCTTAGGATGTACGAGCCTCATCCGACTGAGCAAATGCCGAAAACTCTCAGGAGTCTTGATTTATCTTCATTTTCAGCTCCACTATGCATTTCACACTTCGAATTGCAGCTCTTTTACATGCAAACCATGGAGAACAGCACATGCGTCAGCCAAGGCACCTTCAAAATAAAGACGGGCCAAGTTGGAAAAGAATGAGGCCAAATTTGCAGCACTGTTTATCTCAGTTTGTATAATATCAAGTCTTAAGTATCCTTGCGTTTGTGCTTCTGCGTTGGCCTGGTGCAGCTGCCAAATGTCTTTTCTTCAAGCAGACCCTCCTGGCTCTCGAGGCTCATAGTACATACATCTGTCAGATACCATTTTGTGCTGGGAGAACAACCATGATGAAAAAAACAAACACCGGGCCACGACGGCTGCTGCCTAGCGGCTGTTGCTCCAGCCAGCGCAGCGACCTCGGCCAGGCTCGTCCAAGTACTGTGTTTGGACTCATCAAGGTAAGCTATCTACGCACTGCTGGCAAGTCGAGGCCTCAAAAGGGCCCAACAACGAAGCCCCAACAACGCAACATCACACCCAAACACCCTGGATTCCCACACTCTAGAATCTCTAGAACAACTCTGACTCTCATGCTACAAACCTCCCGACATTTCTTGCACAACCCAGGCCTTCAAGGACTTGATTCGGCTGCCGAGGCAAAGGCTGGGAGTTCAAGCTCCTTAGAAAGCTCTCGAACGTCTCCCGCACCAGCAGCCTGAAGGCACTTCGGGCTTGTGCAAATATGTGAGTCTCCATTAAAAAAGGGCGTGGAGGCTTCTAACTATCGGCACCTTCTGCACACGAAACACTTAAGCCTACGACTAACATCAAAGACCTTGACATTGTGCGTCGCCTTAGCTTGATGTACTTCTCCCTCGCTTCCGTCGGGTCGTCCGGCAAGTCGACACCTGGCAGAAGCTGTGCGGGGAGGTGGGGACCACTCTGCAGCGGAGCAGTGGAAAGCGGGTTAAGGAATATAGGGGGCCGAGCGAATGTTCAAGAGATGAGGATCGGTGAGGGGTTGGGTTATTTCAATGTTCAGGCAAGGTTGGATTTAATGAGGCGATTTAGGGCTTCTATGGACATCGTTGCCAGTGCGACCAGACAGCATAGACTAAACGAATAGGTTCAACCGTTCAGCCCAAAATAAACCGAAGAAGCCCGAAGAAACCTTGAATCAAAGGTGCTGAGCCCTCTCAGGCTCTCTGGGGCATGCGCGAGCTTCGACGCCGCCCGGTCGGCTCGACATGATTTGCCCTGCCCTGCACATGCAGCCGAGACAAGGCTCAATTTAGCCCTTAAGTGTCTCCCAAAACCCCAATACCCTACATAGGCTTGAGAACAGCCTGTCAGCAACGCAGGCATTTCTGCAATCTGAAGGGCCTGGAGCCTCAGTTGGGCGAAGCCATGAGCGCGCAGCGAATCAAACACATCTTCCCTGAGGAGTGTTTGTTGGGGGGTGGGAGGGGGGGGGTATATTGAGACCGTTCAGGCCTGGCTGAAGGCTACGGCTAAGGGGCTTAGGCCTATTCAGGATCTTGAGCCGTCAAGGTCTTGGCAACCGGAGTGTGGAACTTGTCTGATGCTAAGCTGTGTCGACAGATCTTGCACTGACTTGTGGTGTGACCCGCGGCAGAGTACCCATGATGGATCATCATTTCCATTTCCTAGTTAAAGCCTCTTGAGCCGGAGAAGGTGCCCCAAGACCCCATGTGCTTTACTGCCGATTGCTCGCAGTCTAACGAGTGGGTCTGCAAAGCAGGCAGCGACCACGTGGTTGGTTCAAGAATCTGCTTCCCAGGCCTACTATCAGAGATGTGCAGACGGCCGAAGAGAAAGAGAGGGCGCGACTCGGAGAGGGTCAGTCCTCGAGGAGTGCCTGCGCCTGCCAGAGGTCTTCAGCATAAAGACATGTCACGATGGGGGGGAACGTGAGGGCTCACCGCAACCCATGCACGCACAACCGGCAACATGCTGCCAATCCATGCCGCTCAGCTTGCTGGCGCCTCAGTCTGCATTCCACCTTTCAAGCACGCGCTCATCGCGGTGTTGAAGGTCACTGCGTTCGGCTTGGCCTGCCGCTGACCCTCTGACTCTTGTGGTGCAAGTGTCTGACGCAAGCGACGTTTCTCTCCATGTGCGACCTGGTGCTCGAACATGTCATCCAACAGCCTTAGAAGTGTGTCTTGCGATCAGGGTGGATGGCAGGCCAACGAGGCCTACTTGTTGAAAATACGAACCAACCTTTCTGGCAACAGCGGGAGCACCAGTGGGCAGAAAATGCCTGGAGTGACCGGGGTTGAAGCAAATCCGGAGTGCGCGTTTATCGACTGTCAGGCCTCGCGCCCCTATTTTTTGGGAAGTCCAGCTTAACGGCTTAACATGAGCCCTGATCTCGGCTTACATCAGAGTGGCAGTAAGGTCTCGTAGCCACGGAAAGCCTTGTCGCACCTCAAAGCTTGGCATGAGGCTTTTGGCGGATTGGGGCTTGCCAGGGCCTTGGTTTCAACCCTTAGGGCTTGATGCGCTCCAAAAGGGTTTGCAGAGGAGGTAAAGATAGGTAAAGGATGGTTAAGGGTCCTGACATTAGCTGCGCGCTGCCATTGCGGTGATGCGGCTTCCAACAGCACCACCGGTTGGTCCAACCGAACTGTCAGTTGCGTAGAACAGTTGCCATCCAAAGGCGCATGAACAACGTGAACAGTTCGAGAACCCTAACCAGAAGCAGGCCCGGGCACGCGTTGATTGCCGAGTTGTAGGTACGCGTCTGGGGGGCCAAGCCCTGATCCTGGGCTTTGTGCCAGTGGAGCAGGTCTGCTGAAAAGACTGCCCAAAATTTCTTGAGCGATTTCCGGGTTGATACCTTTTGCTCCTACGTAAAATCTCCATCTCCGAAAGCCCTAACCCATGAACCAAGCCCTCCAAAAACTCTAAACCCCAAAAACCATTTTTGCCCTGGAGGACCCAAACCAGCCGACCATGCCAACCCTAAGCCCTAAACTGCCCAAGCCGTCCTTCATCTTCGAAAGCAGGTCCACGGCTTCCTCCCATGCTCCCCCCCGGGCACAGGCCTGAGATGGAATGTGTCTCGGGAGGGAGGCTCAGGGTGTTTGCGAGATATGGTTTTTCAATTACGGGCGCGGGAGTCCAGGTTGGGTTACTGCTTCAAGGGTTGGGATCTAAGGGCTTTGGACCACACCCAAGAAGCATTGATGAGAGCATTGTACGTGATGATGTCCGGTGCCAGCTGCCTTTCGGGCATGCCTTCAAAGAGCAGCATGGCGCGCACCACCTCGCCAGCCTGCGCGCAGGCGTTGATGGCCGCATTGAAGATCCGGACATCGGCCTTGATGCAATGCTGACTTGCCACTTGTAGCCACCACCACCACCACCCCCCACCCCCAAACTCAAAAGCATAAAATTTCGACCCCCCCCCCCCCCCCCTCAAATAAAAAGCTAAAACCGCCGGGACAAAACAATCGGGCACTGCGGGCTCCTTCTACAAGCGGCCAGCCCATGAAAACAACGATCAAGACGAGCTCTGCTGAAACCAAAACCCTCCACAACTAGCCCCCCTCCTCTAGCCCCATTAACACAATCCCCTGACGACCATTTGAATCGCTTTCGTAAGGACCAACATACCAGTAGGTACAAGAATTTCAGGGAAGATCCCATATTGTGA